ATTAATAATTAAACAGTAGTTAAACTAGGGATTAAAAAGTATAAAAAGCTTTTTATTAATAGTAAGTTAAATACTATAAATTTTAATTATAGTAAGCTCTAGAGCCTAAGCTATAAAGCTTTTAGGCTTAATAAGAAAAGAGTAAAGTACTAAAATACCTAGCTAGCTTTTAATTACTAAGATCCCTGCTCAATAGACAGGGGGCCAGGATAAACCTTTTAGCAGGGGCCTCTATAACAGGAGCAGAATGCACATTTTTACCTTAAACCCCGCTAAGGAGGGCGGGGTGGTGCCGGCTTGGCAGGGTCCAAGTATCTAGCTACTTTAGTATATACAGGTATCTGGGGTAGTCGACTGTGGCGCCATGATCACTACTACCTTATGGTCTTGCTAGTGGTACCACTGAATTGCAACCCGTGGCACCACCACCAGAGTGAAGAGTAAATAATTCTAGTGAATTTGTTGCGTTCAGATTAGTCTAGGCAGCTTCGCTATTCCGGACTAGCACGCCGGAGTAAGATGGTTCATAACCGTGCGAGACCTGAAATTGCCAAGGGTGATCCCACAGGTATTCCCCTTTTAGGGATATAGTAACCAAACCTTGGGAACAGACAAATGTTAAGGAATGCACGTTTTCTTTTCTTTTCTCTTTTTTCACAAGAGTCGCCGCAGGGCATACGGAGAAAGAATGAACTAGACAATTGATAATGATTAAATAACGTCTCTATGAACCTAACCCCGCCCCCAATGCTTGCAGCATCGCGCGCTTCATAACACGAAACTGGCCAATCAACAACTTGATATGCTCTATCGCAACCTCGTTCTCTTCCTGCAACTGTTGGATATACACGGTTGCTTGGTTCAGCACTTCAGCCTTGTTCATCCGTCCTACCCTATCCCTGTCGTTGCCGCTAGCTCCGTCGTCTCCCTCGGTCAGATCCTCATTGTTCCCCGGGAGTCGCTGTCCGTGCTGGGTCTGTTTTAGTGAAGCGACGCAGTCCCGAAGCGCCTCGAAACGCTCCTGGAGGCCTGCCCTATATCGCTTCTCGATTGCGTAATGAGGGCGCTGCCGTTTTCGAGGTGATGCGTGGCATGAAGCAATGTTGCTAGGGCTTCCGTCCCTGTCGATGGCCCCAGCTTGCCCCGCAGGTAGGGATGTCTTCTTCGCGGGTCCTCCATCTCCGAGGCTATGGAGACCAGCTTTGCTGGGTTGGGGTACTCCAGAGCCTTGGTCCTGGCGTTGCGGGCTTTGGACAATGGCCCTATTATGGGGTGTTTGAGGACAGACGGAGTCCAGCAGGGCATCCCACTGGCTGATGGCGCTTGACGAGAAATGTGACAAGTAGTCAGTATTGTTGCCGCTACCACTGCTGTTACTGGTGCTGATACTTTCGGAGGCTGAGCAAACGAGTAACGAGTCTGGTTGCTCGACAAGCTCGTCACAGCTACCAGTATAAGCCATGAGATCGCCCAGCCAGTTGGGTTCCAGATCAATGCTGGCATAACAGGAATCGCCACCTAACGCTGGATCGATCACAACTGGTTCATTTGGGGAGCAACATATGGCCGCTGGCGAATCCTCATTGCTGCCGGAAACTTGTGATAGTTGAGCAATCTCTGTAGCGCTGGGCCAAGGAGCGCCCGACCTGAGAATCTCCAGGTCAACGTCGTCGTTAGCAAGCAGCGCTTGAAGGGAGGCGACTAATTCTTCACGGCTCTTTGGAAGGCCAGGTGGCGAAGAACATTTCAATTGAGGCTTGGGCATCTTGTTGGATCTGTGCGTGGACGAATCTTATCTGATTCACGATATCTGGTTGCCTTTTGCTTCACTCTGAGAGGGCACCAAGCACGTATGGACTCTGAGTCTTACATATAAATATCTTGAGCAGAGATCTACAAGACGGATACTTTGCAATGGCTTGACTTCGGACCTTACTGCCTTCCGGTTCGGGCTCTGAACAGTGTATTCAAGATAGCAATCTGTTGGTTCTTCAACGCGCTGAACATCAAGCTGTTGGCCGGTCAGATACAGGGATATATGTCTGTTGGCTCGTCGGGGACAAAAGTTCCAGGCTCTAACCCAGATTGCAGAGCTAGTTCACAACGCGGACCAACAGATGCGTACCCATGAGTAGGCATATGAACGAAAATACTATTGCCAAAGATGGGGATAATATAGAGGCAATCGTGTTCCTGTATTTAGGTCGCCGGTAAGTTAGTAATGCTAAGAAAGAAAACAAGGTAGGCACAGGCATATTAGACTATATATATAATTCCCTATAGGGGTTAAATTAGTTACTTAGTAAGAGAAAGGGGCACTATTTACCCTAAAGAAAATAAAGAAGTTTAAGGCAGCACCGCGAATCCGGCCAAACAGGGCTTGGATCGCAAATGACCCTCAATACCCCAACTAGCTGGTCCACTGATATTTATTCAGGGGTTACATTGTACCTCCGAGCATGGGTTAGGTTATGATAAACGATATCTGTTAAGACATATACTCTTATCCGGATCTCGGCAAGATTTGAATGGGGCTCTATGAAACTCAGGGCGCTGTTAGCCTGCCATACGTACACAACTGTTATCTACATGACACAATAACTGGACTGTCTATGCTGTATACATGGAGACCAAGGTCAGCACTGTATAAGATGGATTGATGCATGTCTAGAACTGGCTCCCCAGGATCATGTTGTGTTCTTCAGTCAAGATAGGATCGCTAAAATACGGATACAGCGGAATGGCTTACACTAAAAATCGCTGATCTACCACCAAATCGTTTCCGGTGTTATATCCCCCCTAGGCAGGGTACTCAGCATCTGCCTAAGCAGGGTTGCCACGCAGGGAGACACTAGGCTAGCCAGTTGATATGTACATACAGTACTGATAGCGGCACGTCGCTGACTTCTGCATTTAACCCTCTACCTTCACATTTGCCCAAGTAAAATCGTCATACGATACGCTCATTTGAACCCTTCTAGAACAGGGTCATTCCAGCTGAAGTACGGAACAGCTCCGTCAGTATCAAAACATGAAGCACCGAAATGGCTCTAACTCACTCAAGAAACTTGCCGCGCAGCGTCGCGGGTGCCCTCAAGGCCAATTCGGCAATGACTGCGCCTGGCTGCTCAGGCTTAACCATCTGCGCCGTCTCGTATAGTGTGACGAGAGACTGGTGATCCTCGGCATCCATTGCCGGGCCGTAACGCTCGCGCACTCGCGTCGACATGTCGGTGTCGACCATTCCGGGAACGATTTCCAGCACGTTGATCAGTGGCTCTTCTAGAGCCAACGTGCCAGCATAGTGATGCAACGCTGCCTTGGAGGCGCCGTAGGGACCCCAGCCGCGATAGTAGCGGTGCATGGAATGAGACTGGGTGATTATGACTCGCCCGTGAGATTCCCGTAGCGCGGGGAGTGCGGCATTGATCTTTGGTTGTGTTAGCGTCTAACATAGTTGCTTAATGTTCTGTATGGACACGTTTCAGACCTACCAGAGCTACTGACCCGAAGAAGTTGACGTTGAAGGCAGCCATCCAGTCTGATACCTCGATCTCGCCAGCCACTCCAACGGGCTCGATAATGGCATGGTTGACGGCAACTCCGTTGATGTGACCAAAGGCAGCTAGACAGCGTCTAACTACGACCGTGCCGAAAGCCGGGTCGGCAAGATCGCCGCAGAGGTACTGCATACGGTCTGGATGAGCAGATTGGAGTTTCTGCAGGGGCTCTGGGGACCGAGCTACTGCAAAGACATTGCATGTCGGGTTTGACAGGAGGCGGCAGCAGATAGCATGCCCGATTCCTGTCCATCAGCTAAGCGTATGCAACTAGAGTAGATACTGTAGACCTGAGGGAAAGAGTACCAACCTCGGGATGCGCCAGTCACGATGATGATTCGGGCCATAGTGCTTCGATTGTGATTCATTGAGTTATTTGTCTATGTATTGAACCGAGAGCGGACGGCTAAGGTATATATCCATACAGTGACTTCGAGGTGGCGCCACCGCTCAACAGGCAGTCTCCGGTGCATTGATGCAGCAGAAGCCGGGATTAACAGAGAATCATTCATTCTATCCTAATCTATGGATCATCACCACTGGTGGTCATACCCTTGAAGAGTGCTGACTGGCAAAAAGAGAACGTTCTGTGAGGACAGTCTGTGGGGAACCCCACTCAACCAGCTCCCCATCGTCCAGCACTGCGACGCGGTCGTAATTAGCGATGAAGTCCAGCCGGTGCGCAATCGCAATAATGGTGCAGCCTCGAAACTCCTGGTCGATGAGGTCGCGCATTCGTAGATCAGTCTCATGGTCTACATTGCTGGTCACCTCGTCAAGGATCAAGATTTGCTTTGGCTGCAACAGCGCCCGCGCTAAACAGAATAGCTGTGTCTGGCCGGGTGAGAGAGTCAACGAGCTCATCTCGGCATCGAGTCCTCCATTGGCCAGCAGATATTCGTCTAGCCCGACACGACGACAGACATCGAGCAGCTCCATATCTGTTTGGGCCCCTGTGAAGTCGAGGTTGAACCTCGCTGAGCCTCTAATGAGAAGTGGATTCTGCGTGATAGTGCTCAGCCGCATGCGTATTTCTTCGGGCGGTACCGTGGCCAAGTCGATGTCATCGATCAGGATGCGGCCGCTGTGAATATGCAAGCCACGATACAATGAGAATATTAGAGAACTCTTGCCACTGTATCAAGTCAGACTAATCTGGCGTCAGGTATATATGCCTTGATCGAAGCTCACCTCCCTGTCCGCCCACAAATGCCCACCTTCTGGCCAGGCTCAATTCGCAGAGAAATCTTCTTCAAGGTGACGGGGGACGAAGGTCTGGTAGATGTTAGAAAAGAGCACAAGAGATCATATCAACTAAACATGACGTACGAATAAGAGGCTACAAGATCCTCAATGTGAATGCCGCCCTTCTGTGGCCAGTTCGGTGGGAGTGTGATCCTGTCGCCAGTACCTACCTCGACAGGCGTTTGTTGCATGAAGGTTCGGGTACGAACAAGGGCTCCCAGTGAAGTCTCAAGCTTAGTCCAGGCCTGTACTACAGCTGCCAGATTGGAGTTGAAGGTTGTAATATTGCTGATAGCTAGCCCAACGGCGCCGGCGGACATGGAGTTTGTCAGAGTAACCGTGAAGACAGCAAGCAGGATTGCCATGCCGGCGACAAGGAGATCAAGTACGAGCGCGAGCCACCTCTGGATACAAAAGAGCATATAGACAGCGCGCTGCGAGTCGTCCAACAGCACATGATGCTTGTTCGTGAACGATTCTTGCCAGTTGAAACAGCGGATCGTGACGAGACCACGCATAGATTCCAGAAACTGACGATACAACGGCGCTCTTAGTTCAATATCCAACAACCGGACCTGTCTCGAGGTGCGCAGATATAGCCGTTGGATCAGATATATGGTCAGCAGACATGCCGGAATTGTTGCCGCGAGCCAGTGCGCAGAAACACAGATGACCACTAACTGGACAATGCTGATGGCAGCAACTAGACTTAGTCAGACAATAGACGACAAATTTTTGGAGAGAAGTAGGAGTGCTCACAGGCGGTAGTATTCAGTGCGGCGAGCGGGAGGCTCATGTCGAACAATTGCATGTCTTCACTGAAGTGATTCATCAAGACACCTATATCAGTCGCTGAGAAGAAGGACAGAGGCGCACTATGGAAAGTCAGTCCACCGCTGCAACACTCGTGTAATTGTTAATGAAGGGTTACCTAATCGTCGACCGAAGGACAACTGAATGGAAATACAGAGCGGACCGAGACACCATTCGCACGATGAGTTGCCTAGTTCAGCGCAGCTTAGCAAGGATTCAATTCGTTCACGTGTATAATAGGCCGGTCATGGGCTCATGGCAAACACTCACCAACTAGCCAGGCCTACAAGGAGCAGGGTTAATACTCCTAGAGAGGCATATACCGAGAGACGCTCAGCCACGGAAGTGTTGCTTCCAGTTGCGTTTGCGCTAGACCACCAGCTGAGCCAGATTGCTAAGTACAAATAAGTCATGATACCACCGTTAGCTGCACGGGGAATGAAAACTTACTGGAAAAGTTATACAGAACACCTAAGATAGCAACCAGGACCAAGTACACCAAAGTATTGAACCATCCGGCGGCGGCGGCGTAATAGCTATATAAGGTCCAGTCGCCTCTCTTCCGCGAGGTCCGGAGCGGCATGGCCAGAGCCGTCTCTTCTGTTTCTTCCTGTATTTTCTCGTGGCCATATACTGCTCCCGCGGGAGGCGGGACTTGCTTGTTTTCCCGCTGCTCCTGCTGCTTCGCATGCATAATGACATCGCCCTCCGTTTCTTTGACGGGTCTCTGTAAGTCAATAGTTCCCAGCCCAGTCAGGAAGACAACATGGTCGAACAAGTGAAGCAGGCGGGTGTCCGTGGTCACAAGCAACAGGGCAGTACCGTCCTCTTTGAGCAATCCATGAGGACCAAAGACTTGTCGGAGCACCTTTGCCTTGGTTTGCTCGTCAAGACCAGACAGAACATCATCTACCAGAACCAAATCCGTCTTTTGCATCAGCGTTCGGGCGAGGGACTACAATTCCCGTAAGTCAACTGGGTAGAAAGAATGAAGGTAGAGAAGGGTAAATGACATACTATGCGCTGCTTCTGGCCGTGACTGAGCTTTATGGCGTTGCTGCCAACCACAGTCTGCTCTCCTTCAGGTAAAGATGCCAGGTCCTCTTCTAGATCACACGCGTGTAGGACGCGCTTATATCGGGCCAAATCTGGCAGGGCCTCACCACAAATATTTTCCCGGACAGTGGCGTTAAGCATCCAGGGATTTTGGTCACAGTAACCGATTGATCGACCGTAGGTATCGATACTTCCTGATGACCATGGGGTCTCGCCAAGAATGCCTTTGAGAAGAGTGGATTTACCGCAGGCGACGGGGCCAGTGATGGCCACCGACCACCTTGGAGGAATCCTGATAGATAGCTCGCGCAGCACAGGGTGGCCAGCCTTCCATCCGAAGCTAGCTTTGTGCATATGCAAGGATAATTCTGGATCTTTGAGTTGGATTGTTTCAGAAGATGAAGGGCCTGAAACTACAGACTCGGGATGGCTGCTCGTCATGAACTTCTGAATGCGATCCAGACAGCCCAAGGATCCTGCAAATCCGGGAGCCGCCTGGACGAGAAGATTGATGGGCTCAGACAATAGGCCGATCATTGTCAGAGAAGAAAAAGCCCGAGCAGGAAGCAAGGAGCCGTTGCTGGGAGCGGCATAGATGATAAAGGTGATTACAGGTGCTAAAGTCATGGTGATGCGAGCTATGCGAAGAGTCAGTGCTGCAAAGTGATGCAAATAACATGAGAAGTTGAGCTACAAATTACGACAATCCCTACCAGGAGGCGACGCAGTTTCTGGGAAGTTTCCAGCTCTTTGGCGCGTAGCCCCTGGATGTGATTGTTGAAGAAGCCTGTCAAGCCCAAGAACTTGATCTCGCGTATGTGTGCTAACATATCTGCCGTAGCTCCGAGTCGGACCTGAATGCTTTCATTCCAGCGTTTCTGCTTCTGGCCGAGGCGAGAGAACAATAAAAGACTTGCGAGCACACAACCTGTGTGAGTCAGAATGGTCATGTCCAGCTTGAAGGTGAGGAGGTAGGTTAGTAGATGCGTTACTTAATGAAAGAACCAGAGGCGCGGTCGACCCCCAATGGACCTGCCGGGCCAGTAACCACATGACCAGTCCGATCTGAACAAAGGAAGCCCAGATTTCGTGAGTTTCAAGAAGGCCAAAGATGGTCGTGTCTACGTCGGCGCTTATCAGGGTCAGAGTCGGAGACGAGTCATCACTTGTGGACAAGCGAGACGCCAGAGCAGCCTGGTAGGTGGCGCAGATGAGAGCGCCCCGGACCATGGCAACGAAGCGATACATGGAATGATAGTAGACAGTAGTAAATATCTGATTGTTGGAGGTAGACAAGATTAGCTACCTATCGAATGCTTGAAGCTGAGAGTGTCGCGTATTTCTTACCGCTATCCCTCCGTAAACCAGAGCAACGGCCCCAACGAGTCCCAGGCCTCTTGCCCTGTGATTAGGCTCGTCGGATAGGCCTACGTACTCTACGAGGCGCTCGATAATGACTGGCTGTAGCAATGTAAAAGCCAAGAGACCTAGACGGGGCAGCACGGCGCGAAGCAACTGCCATTTGAAGGCTTGGAGTAGACACCAGGCCAAGATATGGGGTTGTTGAGGGTCAGGACAGCAGCGCCACTGCCGCTGAAAGGCATCATGGACCTGAGAAGCTCGCAGCTCGGCATCCAGACATATCAGATCCTTCGGTAGGATATCTTTACGCGACCCACTCACGAGAGAGGGCAGCAGCCAGCCGAAGACGGACCGGCTGAGGATGCCTGCCACCTCCTCCTCGGTCACGTCGCAATAGCTGTCTAGTACTATGCGGTGTTTTTGACGAGCTTCTAGGATTAACCAGACCACCTTGGCGCAAAGGCATACCGTAAGCATGGGTGCTAGAGGAAGCCGCAGCTGTAGCAGCCACAGAGTCCGAACGCGCGAGATATCGAGCAGAATGGTGAGCGGCAGATATAAGCAAATCAAGGTCGACGGCCGCAGGGTCTTGAAATGCTCAGCGTGTGATACGAGCCCTAAAACCAGCGTAGCCACCAGCTCGATGCCCCCAGCAGGGAGAGCGGCGCGGGAGGGCCGCAAACGTTGCACGGCCCAAAGGATGAGAAGCGCGAGCTGCGAGAGGGCAAGCATGATAAATGCAATCAACTTTAGCCCGAAGCCAGTCCGTGGCCGCACCTTTCGAGGGCTGGCTCGTAAATAACACAGTCGGACCACGCCCAGAAGAATGGTCATGGTACAAGGGATGATTGTCAGAATGGTGTCTTGAAAGAACAACGTGAAGTCAAACCCGCCGCGGCAACTCAGTGGGACACTTGGTCCCAAGGAATTGTCATTGCAAACCATCTTAGTAGCTGGCGTTGTCTCTCCTCGTCACGTTGATCCATAAACCTCAGGTGCAAACAGACAGTAATGTAGAACGTGTGTTGGTAGGTATGTTGAACGTGGTCGTAGTGCAGTTCACTGTTTCTCGTAGCACTCTGTTGATCCGAAAGACTATGTAAGAGGACACTTTTATCAGTATGCAGTAGGAGGGTCGGTTGGGATTATTGTGGCACTGTTAGTAGTGGCACCACCAGGATGGTATGAATCTGTGGTGCCACCTCAATATGGTGCTTTCATTGGACAATGTTACATATACGCAAAGGCATAGGCTTTGGCCAATTAGTTAGCAATCAACCGGCATGGTGCATATTCATAGGTACTGTAGATATACATAGAAACACTTTCTGCTTGCAGCCTCACTATATGACGGAATAATAGCCTTGACAAAACATACACACACATAAAAAAAGAAAGAAAAGAAAAGAAATACCAAAAAAACGTTACTGCGTGTTGCCAAATTAGCAGAAATCCCAATACCTCAACTCACCAATTGGCCATATCTCGACTTATACAGCCAGTTACAACCCGGTAACATGAACATGAAGCCGAAGTCTGACACGGACACCGCTGTCCATCAGATGCAGCAACTTTGGCAGAGCGTACTGGCCACAGAGCAGCCTATCAGCCCAGATGACAATTTCTTCGAACTTGGCGGCACCTGGAGTGCTGCGGTTCTGGCGTCGATGAAAGCAGCAGACAAAGGGCTGTCCTTCGGGGCCGAGGACGTGTATGAACACCCACGTCTCTGCGATCTTGTGAAAAGCTGCCGTGTTGGAGCGAAGCCCGTGGCCTCCGCCACCGACTGGTCCGATGAGGACCCAGCATCATCTTTCCCTGCCGGCCCGTCGCCCTCAGGAGAAGCAATTTGGCAAACCTACGATGCTGAGCCGCAGCTGTTTTGGCACCCCACTGGCCGGCGTAAAGCACCGCCTAACCTCGTCCGCGCAGCATGGGCGCTACTGCTAGGTAAGTATCAGGATGCGGTCAAGGTTGCGTTTGGGACTGCATCTTCAGAAGCGCCCATGTCACCTGTTGTTTGCGCATGGGACTATGATGATAAAACTGAGGCGTTCCTGGACCACGTACAGCAACTGAGCAAGAATGCAAGCGAGTCAACCACCACCGACCAGAACGTCCGTTGCGGAGTGCGAATTACTACAGTCCTGGATGCGTCCGAATTTGACGATACGTGTCGAAAGATCCGCGCGAGTTCGCCGTTGCTGGCACTGGATATTCATTGCCTATTGTCCGCGGACCGCGTCTCTCTTATCGGCGGCTCTTATACTTCAGTTCTTTCTGCCTCTTCCTTGCGTCGAGTGCTTGACCAAATCCAGCATGTTGTCCAGCAGATGGCTGCCTGTCGATCTGACGATACTCTGCGCAATCTGCAGTATGTCAGCCCAAGCGACCGTCAACAGTTGCTGGAATGGAACAAAGAAGTGCCATTGGAGGTAACCGCATGTATTCACGAAGAGTTTGACTCTTCGGTCCGGCAATGGCCGGATGCCGTAGCTGTCGATGCGTGGGATGGCACCTTCAACTACCTTGAGCTTGACATTTTCTCTTCTCGGCTTGCTGCAGTTTTAGCCGGGCGAGGCATCACTCGAGAGATCGTCGTCGGTATTTGTTATCAGAAGTCAAAGTGGGCCGTGGTCTGTATGCTGGCAATCCTCAAGGCTGGTGGCGTTTGTCTATTCCTCGACCCTGAAGCGCCGCGTGTGCGACGAGAATCGATGCTTCGCGATGCGAACGTGAAGCTGCTTCTGACATCGCCAATCAGCCTAGAGGACGTTGGAGACAGGGTCCCATGCTTGGCAGTTTCCCATCCCTTCTTCGACAAAATCGATCTGTCGTTAGCGCCTCGCCCAGCCGTAGTAAGCAGTCCCTCAGATGCTGCCTTTATTTGCTTCAGTTCTGGCAGCACAGGCATGCCCAAAGCCAGTGTTACTGAACATGGCTCTGTATGCACACTGGCCAAGCATCGTGGACAGCTAACCTCGCATGGGCGCGGGACACGGCTGTTCCAGTACACCTCATATACCTTCGATGTCGCATTTTGTGATATGGTGACGACATTGCTGCATGGAGGGTGTCTCTGCATTGCCTCAGATGAGGAACGCATGAACAATCTTGTGCAGGCTATTCGTCTCTTTGATGCCAACCTCATGTACCTCACACCCTCCGTCCTGGAAATGTTGACGCCAGAGAGTTTGCCAGGATTGAGCAATTTGATTGTCGGCGGCGAGGCTCTGACAACCAGCATCGTCCGTAAGTGGGCGCACCGGACGAACCTCATGGTGACCTACGGCCCAAGTGAATGCACAGTCTCGTGCATGGGAATCAGCCGGCTGGGTCCCAACACACCAGCTGGCATCATTGGGAAAGCCATGGGCTCACGCACCTGGGTGGTGGATACGGCCAACCCGCGGAACCTAGCTGTCGTAGGCACCGTCGGCGAGCTCTGGATCGAGGGACCGTTGGTGGGCCGCGGATATATAGATACGACCAAGAATCACAGCACCTTCTTCTTCGTACCACCGTTCCTACCCGAGCTGGACCCAAGCACTCAAGTCCGGGTATATTGCACCGGGGATCTAGTGTGCTACCGGGAGGATGGCGTCCTGCAGTTTATCGGACGACGTGACATGCAAGTCAAGATCCGCGGACAGAAAGTCGAGCTAGACGAAATCAATATTCATTTGGCAAAAGCCTTGCCTGACGGAGCCATAGGCTTGGCCGATGCCGTCGATGGTCTCCTCGTAGGCTTCATCTGTTGGACGCAAGGAACCGATCAGGAACAGGTGATCCCGGAGATCGAACATTACATGAGTCAGGTCTTGCCACGCTACATGGTGCCGCGGTTGTTTGTGCCTATTCCAAGTGTGCCGAGGACCACCTCAGGGAAGCTAGACCGAAAGGCCCTACGTGCGTATCTGGTTGCCTTGCGGACTGCAACGGGACCTGTATCCCAGGACTTGACAGAGATCGAAACTAGCCTGGCGAGGCTCTGGCAAGAGGTAATCAAGGACCCAGTCGGCGTTCTAGCGAGCGACTCCAGCTTCTTCCGTGCAGGAGGGGACTCTTTGGCTGCCATGAGACTGGTGCAGGCCGCTCAAAACCACGGTATATCAATCCGAGTTGATGAGATATTCCAGTGGCCGAAGCTGAGTGACATGGCTGAGCATCTCCGTGTACAGGCCGGGTTACAATATAGGCCCAGGTTGCGACCATTTGACTTGGCACCCACACCTATTGATCCAGTCTTCAGCTCACTCTCTGACGAATACAACCTTGTCGAAGAACAGATTCAAGACATATTCCCCGCAACCCCGATACAAACTGCCATGATGGGCCTATCCTTGCTGCAGCCAGGTGCATATATCACACAAGCCCACTATACGCTGCCTACTGGTGTCGATGTCTCCCGGTTCAAGTGCGCGTGCGAGACAGTCTACAATCTTAGTGGCATTATGAGGACTCGCCTAGTTCCAGACCATGGGGCTGGTATGATTCAAGTGGTCTACAGAGAGGCTATTCACTGGTACTCTTATTCAGACTACGCCTCATTACTCGAGGACTACCAACAGCTGCGGATGGGCCTGGGGGATCCTTTGGCCAGATTCGCAATCATTCACAATATAGCAGAGAACAGAACCCAGTTGGTTCTAGCCATGCACCACGCCATCCTTGACGATTGGTCGCGGGATCGCTTCCTCCATATGGTAGAAGATGAGTATCACGAAATCAAACACAAGGATGAACGTCAAATGATCGGAATGAATGAATGGGTAAACTACCTTCAAAAACAAGACATAACCGCGGCCGAGAGATTTTGGCAGACCAAGCTGCAGCATACACCTGAGCATGGGTTTCCTGTCTTGCCTGATGCCCAATACTCCCCATTATCCAATGCTCATATGCGATGGAAAATGCCCGTCAATCAGCAGTATCGTCAAACTGACATAACCTCAGCGAGCGTTGCGCGCGCCGCTTGGGCCTTGGTAGTTGCACAGGAGTCGAAATCACCCAATGCTGTGTTTGCCGTCACCTCGAATGGTCGAGCCCTGCCGTTTCCCGGCGTCGAACTGGTGGATGGCCCGACGGTGTTGACAACACCGGTGCTGATCACGATGAGACCTGATGAGTCGCTGAGTTCTCTTCTAAAACGTGTCCAGCGTCAGACGGCAGAAAGCATGCCGTTTGACCACCTAGGGATGCATAGAATCAGTAAACTGTCACTCGCGTGTCAGCGAGCTACGCGTTGCCAGAGCATTCTGGTCATTCAGACCGCGGAGGACCCTCTCTTGAATAGTGATCTCTTCACACCAGACCACGCAGCCAAACTCACCCCTATGACATACGCCTTGACACTAAAGGTCAGGCTAGGGCATGACAGCATTGAGGTCCTTGCCCAGTACGACGATCGAGTGCTCACTGCCGCTGAGGTACACCGGTTACTGTCCCGCTGGGAGAATCTGATGCAGTCCAGGAACGCCCCAATCACGGACATCATAGGCCTCAAAGTGGGTGTCAACGACAAGGCCACCCGCTTATCAGTCGTCCCCAGCATGCCACAAACTGAGACGCAACAGAGAGACGCGCAAGCGTACTGGGGGCAACTATTTGCTGGCACGCTGCCAGCCAAGTTCCCATTGTTGACTGACGCCCATTATCGTCCCGTATCGACTGGAGAGTTGCGGATAAATATCCCCATAGACTACGTTGTTGGGGACATCTCACTTACCACAGTACTACGCGGGGTCTGGGGTCTGCTCATGAGCCAATACAGCAACTCGTTGGACGTCATCTTCGGGATGATGCTACAGGGACAAACCGTGCCAGTGCGTCTCCAGCTAGACGAGGGAAAGCAGAGTCTACTACAGTTCTTTGACAGGATTCAAAACGAGGCGAAGTCGATGGAGCCTTTTATGTACCTCGGGCTACAGAACATTAGTGCTTTGTCGGACCAAGCTGCGGCTGCCTCTCAGTTTCAAAGTATCTTGGCCATCATGGACGATGACCGCGACAATGGAGAGTACGGGTTGAATGGGTCTTTGGCGCAATACGCCTTGGCACTTATCATTAGACCCAGAACCCAGCACATTGAGATATGTGCTCGTTTCGACCCCCACGTGTTGACTCCTACACAGACTCGCCGTCTCCTTGGCCAGTATACCCACGGTCTTCAGCAGTGCTGGAATGCTCAGTGGAAGCAGATGGCCGTACAAGATATTACCTGGACAGGCTCGGAGGATATTCAAGTCATCCAGAGCTGGAATGCGAAGCAGGCGAGAGAGCCCATGGCACAGAGTATCCCCAGAAAGTTTGACGAGGTAACCGGACTCTATCGAGATATGACTGCTATTGACTCATGGGATGGTACTTTTACTTATGCACGCCTCGATCAATATTCCACGTCGTTGGCGCACGTGCTCCTAGAAAAGGGAGTCAAGTCAGAAACCGTGGTCGCCATCTGTCTGCACAAATCAAAATGGGTTATCGTCGCCATGTTGGCAGTCCTTAAAGCCGGAGCAACCATCATCTTTCTCGATCCCTCACATCCCATCATTCGCTTGCAGGCTATATTGAATTTGACTCATGCCAACCTGATTCTTGCCTCTCCCCACACTGGGGAAAAGATCCGTGATGGTGACATTCCGGTCATGGATGTGATTGACCCTGTGGCTGACCCTGCGTCAGCCAACGGCCATTGCCTACCAGATGTGTCACCTTCCAACGCTGCTTTTATTGTGTCGACCTCTGGGACCACTGGAAAGCCCAAGGCAATTGTACTGGAGCACGGTGCCGTCTGTGTGTCGGCATTGTCCGTGGCCCAGACAGCCGGCATTACCCCTGGTATCCGATTCTTCCAGTTTGCCAACTACACATTTGATGTGAGCTACGGTGATATGCTGGGAACATTGCTCTATGGAGGATGTTTGTGTATTCCATCCGAGGATGAGCGTATGAGCGACCTTGCGGGCGCTATAGCCCGCAGCCGGGCCAGCGTCATCACCCTGACGCCAACCGTCGCAACCCTTCTTCGTCCCTCGGAGGTTCCCGAGCTACGCGCAATGATACTCGCCGGCGAAGCCATCACAAGTAATCTCATCGAAAGCTGGGCCAATCACGTTAACCTAATTGTCCTGTATGGTCCGGCCGAAGCTACCATCTATTCCACAGGTCAGGCACATTTATCCCGCATTGATCCAAGTGGTATAATCGGCCGTGCCCTTGGATGTACAACATGGGTGCTCGATGTAACTCATCGCGACGCATGCGTGCTGGCACCGGTTGGTGCTGTCGGTGAGCTTGCTATTGAAGGCTCTATCGTGTCGCGTGGTTACCTTGAGGCCCCAGTTGAGACGCAGGCCTCCTTTGTCTCTGCTGTGAATCTCATGCCCGGCGCGCCAACATCACAGCATCGACTGTATAGGACTGGCGATCTGGTTCGATACCTCGAAGATGGTCGGTTACAGTTTATTGGCCGCCGTGATCAACAGGTGAAGTTTTATGGACAGCGAATTGCACCCGAAGCCATCGAATGCGAGATCCAGCGATTGCTTCCTGCCAAGGTACAGACGGCCGTGCTTGTCGTCGTACCTAGGGATCATGACCAGCCGCTTCTAGTCGCCACCATCTATATCGAGCCCGAACACCCTGACCTTGGCACTCTACGGGTCCTGCGTGGTAGCCAGGCTCCCAAAGAGCTTGCGACTCTTATCCCTGGGATGGCCGATCAACTGCGGGCAACCCTTCCTTCACACATGGTCCCTAGCGTCTTCCTGCCCATATCGCACATACCCTTGACGGGTTCTGGTAAGATGGACTATACCACGCTGCGGACATGTTGTCAAGATCTGAAACGAGGCGAACTGATGGCGGTTTGGCCCCCTACTCCACCCAGGCAATCAGATGCAATCCCGGAGCAACGTCTCCTTGCGACAGCTTGGGCTGAAGTCCTGGGCTGCGATGAGGAGACATTAGATGCCAACAGCGACTTTGTCAAACTTGGCGGGAATTCGCTACATGCTATCCTCTTGGTCACAGCCATGGGCACCCGTGGGTTTCGGCTAAGCGTCAAGCAAATATTTGCGCACCCGCAGCTCGCTAGTATGGCCTCTTTGGTAACTAAGCGCGATGCCAAAAAGGACAGGGTCAAGCCGAAAGTCATCAAACCGTTGTCTATGTGCCCGATTGACATCGAGACGGTGAGGAAGGCCTTGGAAGAGCAGAGCGGAAAGCCCGCGGGGATCATAGAGGATGTCTACCCATGTAGCCCCTTACAGGCCGGCCTGATGGCGTTGTCTCTGACAGAACCTCGGTCCTATTTGGCTCAGTTCACTTACAAGCCGCCTATTGGTACCAGCATCACACAGTTTTGCGCGGCTTGGGAGACCGTATTCCAGCGTAGCCCCATGCTGCGCACTCATATCGTTTTACTTGAGGAAATGCTGCAGGTTGTTGTGAAAGACCAAATCTCCTGGCAGATAATTGACGACCTCGACCAGTATCTGGCCGCAGATTTAGACTCACCGACTGGTCTGGGACAGCCGCTGGTACGATTTGCACTGAAAGGAGATGCAGTTGTGTTTACTATCCATCACGCTCTTTACGACGGATGGTCGTTGGCCTCGCTGTTGGACGATGTGAGTAAGGTATCCCGCGGTCTGGATGCGAACCCACGTATCCCCTATAATGTCTTCATCCACCATCTGCGGACAATGGACCGCGCCGCCGCAATCAAGTTCTGGTCGGAGCGCTTAGAAAAGGCTCCGGCGCCGGCCTTTCCCGTGATCCCTTCGCCGGGTTATCGTCCCTACGCGGACAAGAGATATGAGCTAACAACGAAGCTGCCACCACGAGATTCATCACCTATAACGCAGGCAACTGTGTTACGCACTGCCTGGGCGCTCGTAATGGCTCGGTACGCCTCCATGACCGACGTGGTCTTCGGAAGTACTTTGAGCGGCCGGACACTGCCTATTCGCGGCATTGAAAATATCGATGGGCCTACTATTGCAACGGTACCCGTACGAGTGACTTTCAAAACGGACCAGACAGTCTACAGTCTTCTTGAAGCAGTGCAGCAAGACAGAATAGAGACAATACCCTTTGAGCAATCAGGACTGCAAAACATCAAGAAAGTGTCCGAAACAGCCCGCCAGGCATGCGATTTCCAGAGCATGCTCGTCATCCAGAACTACAACCCTGCCAACGAGGCATCTGAGGCATCTTCCCTGGAGCCCCAGCGTGCGCGTGTTCATTTGTCGCACCTGCTTACTGTGGATGTTACCCCAATGGGCTCCGAGGTCGAGTTTATTGCCCGCTTTGATGGCGAGGTGTTGGATATGCAACAGGTGCGGCGTTTATTATATCAGACGCATCATGTTATTGCACAGCTGTGGAATGTGGATCCCAGAGCCACAGTTAAGGATATCGAAATATTATCTCCTGGAGACCGCCAGGACATTGCGCGGTGGAATGACTATCCTGTTGACGCCATAGAGTCTGATCTTCCGACACTAATTGCTCAACGGACGTCTACACAGCCCACTTCACCCGCGGTCCGGGCTTGGGATGGCGAGCTAACCTATCGCGAACTGCACCAGCTCTCAGCTAACCTAGCGGGCCATCTAAGAGACCTTGGAGTCCGTAAAGGCCAACCAATACCGTTGTGCTTTGAGAAATCGGCCTGGACAGTTGTCGCGATGCTGGGAATACTCAAGATAGGGGCTACCGTGGTGCCCCTCGATGCCAACCACCCAGTCGGCCGGATTGTCACTATTGTGCAGGCGGTCAAGGCAAGCTTGATGGTAGCATCTGCACTCCAGGCACCACGGTTCCAGGATCAGGACTGGGACATGGTGACGCTTTCGCCTGCAACGATTCAGGCTTTCGAATCTCCAACTCAGCCTTTACCTGCCATTTCGCCCAGCGATGTGGCACTCATCATGTTCACCTCGGGGTCAACTGGCGTCCCTAAAGGTATTCTTATGGACCATGGTTGTTTGTGCTCCAGCATCATCACACATTCCTCCATCCTCAGCATCCCGCCTCACATTAATGTCCTGCAGTATTCCGCCTACACTTTTGACCACAGCATCTTCGAGATCTACACTACGTTGGTAACTGGGGGATGTGTCTGCGTGCTCTCCGATGATGAACGGATGAATAGTCTGGTGGACAGCATGCGCCGCATGGAGATCGACTGGGTTTACTTCACCCCATCTATCGCCAAGCTTATCCACCTAGACGATGTCCCGACGCTATCCACACTCTACGTCGGTGGTGAACCTGTTCCACGGTCACTCATTGACGAATGGGCGACAGCCAAAACCATGATCAATGCCTATGGCCCTGCTGAGTGTTCAATGGTGTCTTCGTGCGTTTTGGCACCGACCTCACCGGTGGGCACTATCGGCCGACCCCAAGCTGGCCGCACTTGGATCGTTGAACCCGACGACTACAACCGCCTCGCACCAGTCGGCGTGATGGGCGAGATGGTATATGAAGGACCCATGGTGGCCCGTGGCTACCTACACGATACTCCATCCAGCGGCTTCATTAATCGACCCAAGTGGGCATCTCCCGACACGCCCTTCCGATTTTATCGTACCGGTGACTTGGGCCGGTATGAGTCTGACGGAAGTCTTGTATTTGGGGGACGTAAGGATACTCAGATCAAGCTCCGTGGCCAGCGTGTAGAGCCGGGAGAAGTCGAGTCTCAGATCCAAAAACTATTGCCCGACATTGCTCTTGCGGTGGAGGTCGTAGTCGCTGCCGATGGTGATGGAACACCGTCGCTGGCTGCCTTCCTCGTAGTAGTGGATGATGACTCTGGTGTTTCCCAGGATCCAATGGATCTGATTGACGTCTCACATGAAGCCAAGCGCCGAATTAGCAGCCTGATCGCCGGACTCGAGGAAGCGCTGCTCCGAACTCTACCAGAGTATATGGTTCCAACAGTCTTTCTACCCCTGCGTATGCTGCCGCTGACAACTTCTGGAAAAGTTGATCGAAAGGTCCTTCGGCAGTTAGGCAAGCAAATAACAGTCGCTCGCTTGGCAGCTTTGACCACGGCAGCTGAATATAGTCCGCCCCTGACTGATGCTGAGGTCACTCTGCAGGACCTCTGGTCGGCTGTGTTGAACATAGACAAGACAACCATCAGCGCGGAAAACAGCTTTCTTCGGCTCGGAGGAGACTCCATCACAGCTATCCGACTTGTCCGCGCCACTCGCGAAGCTGGCTTTCGACTTGACGTTGAGCAAGTCTTCCATTACCCAATACTGCATGAGATGGCCAGCAATATGCGTCCATTAAATATCGATGATGAGAGGTCAGCACCGCCTGTGGCTCCATTCTCCTTGTTGAGCGGTCCCATCGACACTTTGGTAGGGCAAGTTGCCCTCCAGTGCAACGTAGAGCCCAGTTCTATCGAAGATATATACCCATGCACCGCCATGCAGAGTGGGCTTATGTTTCTGTCCGCTCGCGAACCAGGCACGTACATTGCGCAGACTACATACTGTCTCAACCAGCCATTCTCCAAGTTCCGAGCGGCATGGTCTGCTCTGGTTGCTTTAACTCCTTTGCTCCGCACTTGCATTGTCCAGCACGAGTCTGACCATCTACAAGTTGTGCTCAAAGACGCACCCGCTATCAACACAGTGCAGAAGATAGATGCGCCGTTTCTGGAGACTGAAAGACAGCAGCTCACCAAGGGTCGGGTGCTATCTCGTCTAGCATTGTGTCAATCACCTGATGGTACCACTCGGGCCGTCTTCACACTGCACCATGCCGTGTATGATGGCTGGTCACAAGCCCTGTTGATCGACCGCCTACAAAACCTTCTCAAAGGGCGTCCAATTGCCCCATCATCGTCCTTTACACGCTTTGTTTCTCACATCCAAACCGCATCGGCATCGGACGGAGAGTTCTTCTGGAAGACACAGCTCGCAGATGCGGTGCCAGTCTCATTCCCACAATTGCCAATACTTGGGTACCGTCCGAAGCCGATGACAGTTCTCGACTATCATATTGTACAAAAACGGATTCTAGCCTCAGATTTCACCGAGTCTACAAGGATCCGCGCGGCGTGGGCTCTGCTTGTTTCACGGTACCTTGATCAGCGGCACGTCACGATCGGCGTCACTGTCAACGGGCGAGGTGCTAGCATCCCTGGTATTGATCGGATCTTGGGACCAATGCTTACTACCGTGCCTGTGACGATCGACACCAGTCGAACTACTCAAGTTTCCGAGTACTTATCCGCTATCCAAAGGCAGGCGGTAGAGATGCAGGCATACGAGCAGTACGGGCTGCAGCATATCGCCGCCATCAACGACAAGATACGGGCTGTCTGCGACTTCCATAGTCTCTTGGTGATCCATCATAAGGGATGGTCAGCGCCCCGGGATCAGGCACAACCCTTCTGGATACCTGAACGGGACTGCATTAAGCGTCCGTTCCATGCTTTTGCGCTGAGTATGGAGTGTACTGTGCAGAGGGATGGAGTCGCCGTCCACGCCACCTATGACGATGAGGTGATTGATCCTCGCGCTATGAAGCGAATCGTCTATCAGTTTGAGCATATCCTGCAACAGCTGGGTACTCCTGATGTGTTGTCATCCGCTCTGGATGACATTGAACTTATCAGTCCCGCTGACCAGGCCGAGTTAGCTGTCTGGAATGCTGTCGTGCCGGCTCCAACTATGGCTTGTATCCATCACTTGGTTGAGGACCAGATAAAGCAGCGGCCCGAAGCGCCTGCCGTCGCCTCATGGGAGGGTGGCTTCACCTTCCAACAGTTGGACACCTTTGCCTCGTCACTGGCCGAACATCTACGAGAGACAAGCGATATAGGCCCCGGCGTCCTAGTACCCCTCCTCTTCGAGAAGTCCATCTATACCGTGGTGACTATGCTGGCGGTGCTCAAGGCTGGCGGTGCCTGTGCAGCTCTGGATCCAGCCCATCCAACAGAGCGGTTGCGTGGTATTCTGGAAGATGTCCAAGCCACCGTGGTACTGGCCAGTACTTCTAACCTTGCCAAAGCGGTAGAACTACGACTTCCAGTAATTGCTGTCGACCAAGTCCTGTTGGATAATCTGGTCACCGCCCCTTTGAAGCTCCCGCCAAGCACAGTGGGACCTGAAGATCCTGCTATTATTCTTTTTACCTCAGGTAGTACTGGCAAGCCAAAGGGTATCGTTATCGATCATCGTGCCTTTGCTAGCAGCATCCGCGGCCACAGCGAGACTCTGCGTTATCGGGCTGGATCTCGTAATCTTCAGTTCACCGCGTATACATCGGATGTTAGCTATGGTGAAATTTTCAGCTCGCTCTCTGCGGGTGCTTGTGTATGCATTCCGTCTGAAGAGGAACGCGTAAATGATCTCGCTGGTGCCATGGAGCGACTGCGCGTTGACTGGGCCTTTCTGACGCCAAGTGTTGCCTCGATATTAGACCCGCAGACAGTACCGACACTACGGACGCTTGTGTTTGGCGGAGAGACGGCCACCGCTGAGAACATCCAGACATGGGCTGATGCTGTTTATCTGATTAATAGTTTTGGTCCAGCAGAGTGCTCGATATGGAACTGCTGTAACCCGGGCATTAGCACACGCGATATTGGCTCCAATATCGGCAAAGGGCTCGGCTGCGCACAATGGATCGTCGACCCCAACGATGATACTCGCCTCGCTCCTATTGGCACTGTAGGTGAGTTGGTCGTGGAAGGGCCTAATGTGGCCAAGGGTTATCTCCACCTCCCTGAGAAGACTAAGGCGGTTTTTATCCCAAGCCCTCCATGGGTGCCCGAAAGTCGCCAGTCGACAAGTCGGCTATATAAAACCGGCGATCTGGCAACATTCATGCCTGATGGAAATGTCCAGTTCCTCGGCCGCCGTGATGCACAGGTCAAGCTACATGGCCAGCGTCTAGAGCTGGGAGAGGTCGAACACCAGTTGCGTCAATATCTTCCCAGCAACCTACCCGAAGTAGCCGCCGAGATGGTCTGCCCAGCCGGCGGAGCACAACTTCTAGCAGCATTTGTCAATATCCGGCCAGTTCTGACCGATGAGTCGACAGGGGATTCGGACCTGGCAATGTCTGATGCCGCGATCGACTGGCTTGGGAGGCATTTCTCGGGCTTAGAGGACGCATTTGCGGAACGATTGCCGCGATTCATGATTCCTTCGCTGATTGTGCCTCTGACTCGAATGCCTTTGTCTGGTTCAGCTAAAACCGATCGCGGGCGTCTGAGACAGATTGTTCGGGAAATGACTAGGGATCAGATCGCTCGGCTCCATGCCTGCCGTATAACCAGGCGCATTGCTCCAACGACAGACCGCGAACGGCGGCTACAGCAGCTGTGGGCCAAGGTACTGGATCTAGAACCGACAAGTATTGGCCGATCAGATCAGTTCTTTCATCTCGGGGGCAACTCTATCCGCGCTATACTACTCGTTACTCTAGCTCGCAAGGAAGGCTTCAGCCTATCCGTCCAGGTTATCTTCGACCATGCGAAGCTTAGCGCTATGGCAGCGGCTATGAATGAGTTTGATATAAGGTCTATGGAGCCTGTACGCCCGTTTTCTCTAATATCGTCGATAGATGATTTCGATGGTTTGGGAGACGATGCTGCTCAGCAATGCGGCGTTTCTGAATATGAAATTGTTGACCTGTATCCATGCACTCCCTTGCAGGCTGGCCTGATGGCGCAGTCACTCAAACAGCCGGGTACATATATAGGACACTTCGTCCGTCAGATACCAGAAACCGTTGACATCAACCGATTTCGTGCTGCTTGGATAGCAATGGCCCGCCAGGAGATACTCATGCGCACGCGGATAATCCAGTCGGCTGTCGGACTATTGCAAGCTGTTGTCAGCAGTGATATTGATCCAGTCTGGCATTCGTTGCTGACAATTGAAGATTTCACACAAAAGACATCAGTCATGGAGCTGGGCCAGCCACTTGTCCACTTTGGCGTTGTTGAATCGGAGAGGGTCTTTCTGCTAACACTGCATCATGCCGTCTATGATGCGTGGACTCTAGACCTACTATTTGAAGGTGTTCACGCTATTTACGAACGCGGACAAGGAACGGAAAACCCTACAGACTTCCGTCACTTCGTCCAGCATATGCAGAGTCAAAGCCACGAGGAAGCTCGGAATTTCTGGACCGAACAACTCGCTAGTACTCCTCTACCATCGTTCCCTCGCCTGCCGTCAGGTCGCTACATCCCTTCTACGGACTCAATACTTACCTGTGACGTTTCTCTGCCGTCGTCAGGGAGCTCGGGGATCCTAGCCTCTACCGTCATCACTGCTAGCTGGGCCGTTGTGGTTGCTAGGCACTCCGATGTCACCAACGATGCCATCTTCGGCGTGACCTATAGCGGCCGGAGTGCTCCCGTAGCTGCTATCGAGCGAATAATGGGGCCAACCATTGCTACCGTACCCTTTCGGGTGCAAATAGACGAAGACCAACTTGTGGAGAGCTTCTTGTCTGATATTCAGCGGCAAGCCACAGCCATCAGCAAATTTGAGCAGTATGGGCTGCCAAACATCAGAGGAATCAGCGAGCAGGCGGTCGACTTCCAGTCATTGCTAGTTATTCAGGCCGCAACCAATGTGCCGTCTGAGGCCTGGCTACCACCCGTCCAGAGGGATCGTGGGCAACAGACATTCCACAACTTTGCGCTGAGCGTGGAATGCACTATGAACGGTTCTCAGATTTACGTTGTGTGTAACTACGACTCCAATGTTATTCCGGAGCGACAGCTACGCCGTCTCGTGAATCAATTCAAGCACGTCATACAGCAGCTGGCTGTTCCTCAAACAAACCAGCGGTTGCACGAGATCCAAGTGGTAAGCCCTGAGGACCTGGCTGAGATTGAGCAGTGGAATTTCGATGTACCTGAGCACGACAACCACCTCGTCCATCATCTGGTACATGAAACGGCTAGCAAACAGCCCGCAGCACCCGCCATTGTATCGTGGGACCGCAACTTTACCTACACGCAGCTCAATGAGACGGCTGGGGCACTGGCTAACGCTCTGGTGGCCAGTGGTGTCACTGTGGGCCAACGGGTACCGTTTCTGTTCGAAAAGGGCTCGTGGGCTATCGTTGCCATGCTGGCCATCCTTAAGGCCGGCGCAGCCTGTGTTGCTCTTGACCCGGAGCAGCCCTCTGCTCATCTCCGCGATATAATCTCCCAAGTTAGGGCCAAGACTTTGCTTACTAGTGACATTCAATACAATGTTGCTGAGCATCTTGAAAATAATGGTTCCTTGAACATAATCCCTGTGGGATCTGTTCATCGGACCAGTTGGGAGGCATTTCCATGTGTCTCACCCTGCAAAGCCACGCCTCAAGATGGAGCATTCGTCATGTTCAACCCTGACAGCACCGGGACGCCACAGGGTACCATCATCCATCATGAAGCCTTTTGCAGCAGTATCCGTGGTCATGGCGAGGTGCTGCGCTTCTATCGTGGACCGGCTTCTCGAAACCTCCAGTTCGCAGCATATACATCTTCTGTGAGCATTGGGGAGATATTCACCTCACTTGCACTTGGGGCGTGTGTATGTGTGCCTTCAGACGAGGAGCGGACACAGAACTTAGTAGGCGCCATAGAACGAATGACGGTTGACTGGGCTTTCCTAACACCCAGCATCGCATCTATCCTGTTGCCAGCTGCTGTGCCAACAATACGCACTTTGGTCCTTGGCGGAGAGGTAGCATCTAGAAAGGTCATTGAGGATTGGGCTGATTCTGTCTATTTAATCAACAGCTTTGGGCATGTTGAGTGCTCTGTCTGGACTCACTGTGCCCCGGGAATCCCGACTAGTCACGACGGGTCCAATATAGGACATCAGATGCACTGTCGAACCTGGATCACAGATCCAGGAGATTCTCGTCGCATGGCTCCAATCGGCGCCATTGGCGAGATGCTCATCGAAGGTCCGAATATCGCACACGGCTATCTCGACCAAGATGCAACCAAGGCCCATTTCATTACTATCAACCAGTCAGGTAAGACGAAACGCGTGCTCTACAGAACCGGCGACCTTGCCCGCTACATGCCAGATGGCTCGGTGCAGTTACTGGGCCAGCGGGATATGCAGGCTAAAATACGCGGCCAACGCATCGACCTAGCTGAGACTGAACAAGAGTTGCGTAAGCAACTCCCCGTCCTGCGTGAGATTACCGTTATGATGGTCCGACTGGGCAGTGAGGGATCGCCTCTGACTCTGGCCACCTTCTTTAATATCTCCTCTTATATGGGATTCCCAGCGTCGACAAACCAGATATCTTCCACAAAGGCTGTCGTGGCTAACAGTCCTGCGGCTCGACAATCCACAGCGATCCTACTTGAGGGGCTCGCAGAGAGGCTGGGACACGTCCTACCAGTGTATATGATTCCTTCGGTGTATATTCCAGTATGGGCAATGCCTCTGTCTTCGTCAGCCAAGGTTGATCGAGAACAACTGCAGACACTGGCCCTGAAACTGTCTGCCGAGGAGGTTGCCTCGTTCGCCCTTATCCCCTCAGCTAAACCTAGTCAGGCGCTATCGACACCCCGCGAGAAGCTGCTAGCCCGCTTGTGGGTGGACGTCCTTGGCATCGATAGTGTCTCAGCCGACGATCATTTTGTGAGTCGTGGCGGCGACTCTCTGACTGCCATGCGGCTGGTTCGTGATGCCCAGAGAAACGGATTGACGCTGTCAGTAGCCACTATATTCCAGTATCCCATTCTTAGTGATATGGCAGTCGCCACTAAGAACCTAGCTCCGGAAAATGGCACATCTGCTAACACGTTGTTGGACCATGATGTCCCGCCTCCTTTTTCCCTGGTTCCTCCAGAGACCAAGGATGTGCCCAAGTTGGTAGCAGAGGTCGCGAAGCTTTTGCAGGTGGATGATGTAACTATCCAAGATGTGCTGCCATGCTCTCCGTTACAAGAGGGCCTGATTGCTTTGTCTTTGCAACGACCTGGAAGCTACATGGCGCAGTTTGTATATGATATCCCTGCGGCAATCGACTCAGCACGTCTCCAGGACGCCTGGCAGATGGTGATCAACTCTAGTAACATTCTACGCACCCGCATAATTCACTTGGTCAGCTCAACTCGCCTGATGCAAGTTGTCCTGAAACCCACCGCTGTTGCTTGGGAGCAGGCGTCGGACCTGGATACTTATCTTGCCAAGAACCAGCACACAGCTATGAGAATAGGGGACCCTCTTGTCCGGATCGCTCTAATATCCAATTCTAGCAAATTCAACCTTGTGCTCACTATGCATCATGCAATCTACGACGAGCAGTCCCTACAGCTCCTGTGGGCATCAGTCAAGAGCGCCTACCGCGGACTCGTCCTGCCTCGCCGTCTTCCCTTCTCATGCTTCATCCGTCACGTTCAAGATAGAGATACAGATACGGGATCAGCCGCGGCCTTTTGGAAGGCACAATTGGACGGCGCTCCGGCTCCATCGTTCCCAACCCTCCCTACCACGGCAACCATCTTCCATGCCTGTCCAGATAAGCAACTTCAGGCGACCATGTCACTCACCCGCCTAAACAACACTCACATCACTGCGGCTGGACTTATCCGCGCCGCCTATGCACTATGGCTGGCGCTCCACACGGCCAGTGACGATGTCGTTTTTGGAACCACCATGAGCGGGCGTACAGCCCCACTACCCGGTATTGATGTTATTGACGGCCCGACCATTGCGACCGTTCCCGTGCGGGTGCTTTGTAGCCGAGATCAAACAGTAGGCGACTATTTACAGCAAATTCAGCAGCAGGCCGCCGATATGCTCTCTTTTGAGCAGACGGGTCTGCAGAATATCGGCCTCATTAACGCCAGCGCACAGACGGCGTGTAATTTCCGTACACTCCTCGTCATCCAAGCGGTGCCGGACTCCGGAGCATCCAGGGTGACAAAGCCGGAGGCCGAGCTGGACTGCCCACTTCTTCCCGGTGGCACTGTTAACGCGGTATTCCACACTCTTCCGCTTATTCTTGGGTGCTCACTACTGCCAGACGGCCGAGTCCGTCTCGAGCTGCTTTACGATTCACGCGTTCTGAGCCCTATGGACTCAAAGCGAATGCTACATCAATTCCAGCACCTTCTACTGCAGCTGGCCAACTCCCAGCCTGACCTAGCTCTGGGCGAGGTAGCTGCTCTTCCTCCAAGTGAGGTTGCAATGGTTCGCCAGTGGAACAGTCGCCCTCTATCCGCACTGCCAGCCTGTGTATATACGCAATTGGCCAAGATCGCCCAGAGACAGCCTGGCCGCCAAGCAGTAACGGCATATGATGGCCAATATACCTACTGCGAGCTACTCGGTCAAGCATCTCTCGTAGCCCGTCGTCTAATTGAAGGTGGCATTGATGCCGGAACATTGGTGCCTATTTGCTTCGAACGCTCATCATGGGCGATAGTGGCAATGCTCGGTGTGTGGATGGCGGGTGCTGCCTTTGTCCCTCTGGATCCTTTGCAGCCAGCCAGTCGTCTCGAGGATATTATCACACAGTCAGCAGCTCCGCTTGCCCTTGTTAGCGCTACTTCACGGTTTATTATTGAGCCTTTGTTACCTGTGTTGGAGCTCTCCGCCGTTGCGTTGAATAGGGAGCAGACACTTGCATCTACAAAGAACCCTGAACTGCGACCTACTAACCCTCTCGCCCCAGCATACGTTCTATTTACATCCGGTAGCACCGGGCGGGCCAAGGGGGTCGTTATCGACCATCAGACACTGTACACCAGTGTTGAAGGCCACCTAGAGCCGCTACAGCTGGGCCCAGACACACGCTTTCTGCAGTTCGCTACGTACACGTTTGACATTTCTATCGCTGAGATATTCGACGCTCTTCTTGCTGGAGGGTGCGTATGTGTGCCTTCGCCTGATATTAAGCTCGTTGGCGAGGCAATGGAGGCGATGCAAGTAAATACAGCTTGCTTTACACCGTCGGTTATACAGCATCTCCGCCCAGAAGAGGTGCCTAGCCTGCGAACTTTGATCCTTGGTGGCGAGGCAATTCGCCCAGAACATGTCGACACTTGGGCCAGCCATGTGACACTGTTTAATGGATACGGGCTTACCGAGACATGTATCCTAGCTACTCTGCAACGTATCACATCACGGGCTTCAGCGGCTACAAAGACCGCCACATGCAACAGTAGCATCGGTACCGCTGTTGGATGTCATGCATGGATTGTCAACCCAGATAATCATCACCAACTGCTACCGCTAGGTGCTATCGGCGAGCTCCTCATCAGCGGTCCTATTCTGGCGCGTGGTTATCTTAATGACCCTAGTCGCACCGCTGCTGCCTTTGTCTCTGTGCCAGAGCTTGGGTCTGGGCGCTTTTTGAAGACCGGCGATCTTGTTCAATATGGCCCGGAGGGCTCGATCCGGTACATCGGCCGCAAAGATAATGTCATCAAGCTGCGGGGACAGCGAATCGACCTTGGCGAGGTCGAATTCCGGGTGAAGGAAGCATTTCCGAATGTATCCAGTTTGGCCGTTGTGCTGGCTAAGCGCCGTGACACGCCGTCATTGGCAGTGTTCTTCTGCCCCAGATTACCAGGGGAAGAGGCAACCACTGAAAGGAACATCACACTAGGCACACTAACCCCTGAGCAAATTGTCGACTGCCAGTCTGCACAAGCTACTGTAGCTCGCTACTTACCCTCCGTTATGGTGCCATCCCTATGGATTCCTGTCAACAATATGCCGCTCACGGGGGCAGGGAAGCTGTTTAGTAGGCATCTGCAGCAAATGCTGGACAATGCATCTGAAGATCTCCAACATCACTACGCCCTCGCTCACATCAAACAGACAGAAGGGCTGAACCCTACAACTCCGATAGAGCAGTCACTACAGGTCATATGGGCGGAGACTCTGGGCCTAGATCGAGCCAGAATCGGTCCAAACGACTCGTTCTTCCGCCTTGGAGGAGACTCACTATCTGCTATCCGACTCGTCGCCATAGCCGAAGCCAGAGGCTTAAATTTAAGCGTTCAAGGAGCTTTTAACAACCCGACACTTGTTGAAATGGCACAGATTACTAGCTATCGAGGTGATGTTCGTGTGGAAGACGAAGTTGCGCCGTTCTCGCTTATACATTCTCCGACAGCGGCACTTAGAGAAGCATGCCGCCAGTGCGGCGTGGCTAAAGATGAGATTGTTGATATATATCCCTCAACACATCTTCAAGATGGCCTTATGGTCCTATCTATCAAGCAACCCGGCACATACATTGCAAGCTTCGCGTTCACCCTCCCGGACTCTCTAGACTTGTCGCGGTACCGCGCCAGTTGGAACAAAGTCGTCGCACAGCTTCCCATTCTGCGAACACGCATAGCCTACACTACAGACAGTGGGTTCCAGCAGGTCGTCTTGAGCACCGAAATGCGCTGGACGGAATACAAAACGGATACTCTGCAGAGCGCCTTGACTAGAGAACGAAATATGATGAGGACCGCCATCGGGCAGCCACTAAGTCAGTATGCTATAATCCAAAACCCGGGTGGGGAACGCGTCTTTGTCTGGACTGCCCATCACTCCATCTATGATGGGCGGACAGTAGCCGAAGTCATTGCTACAGTTGAGCAGACCTATTTTGACTTGGCCAACAATACCACGGCCGAATCTTTGCCAGATGGTGCTGTGCCCGCCGTGCCCTTCAATCGCTTTATCCGATATCTTGGCGAGCAAAACTCAGATCAAGTAGCTGAATACTGGCGGGAGCACCTCGCCGGCGTTCCCTCGCCGACATTCCCGGCGCTGCCCGCGATCGATTACCAACCAGTAGCCAACGCCGCTGTAGACCACCTTATAATCCTAGGGTCGTCACAGCGGGCATCGGAGGGAAACGTCACTATGGCCACCAAGCTCCGAGCAACCTGGGGTCTACTGCTAAGCCTATATGAGAATTCCCATGATGTCAGCTTCGGCACTACACTCAGCGGTCGCAACTCAGGTATCACTGGCATCAATTCTATTATGGGTCCTACCATAGCCACAGTTCCCATTCGCATCCAAGTGCCCGATCTTACATTACCTATTGGGCGGTGGCTTGAGACAGTCCAGCAACAAGCGGTCGAGATGATCCCCTTCGAACAGGTTGGCCTACAGACAATCCGCAAGTTGCATAATGACGCCCGCGCTGCTGTAGATTTCCGGACCTTGTTTCTCGTGCAGAACATGCGCTTCGGCAATACTGAACATCAGAGCCGCTTAGGTCTGGAGCAACTGGCCGGTCAGTCGGGCTCTTTCTATACCTATCCACTTGTCGTCACCTGCACGTTACACCAAGACGGCAATGTACTCATAGCAGCAAGCTTTGACGATAGCTTGTTGGAAAGCCGTTGTGTTGAGCGCCTTGTTGACCAGTTCGCCAATCTCTTGCGCCAGCTCCACCAAGCACCTTTTCAGTCACCGTTATCAGAGCTCAATATGCTGCCTGAGTTTGACGCACAGCAGATTTCTCTGTGGAATTCCACTTTGATTCCCGTTGTGGATGGCCTCGTTCATCAGGAAATCCACAGTATGGTCCAACACCAGCCTGAGCGACCCGCAGTTACTGCTTGGGATGGAAGCCTGAGTTACGCTGAGTTGGAGTCAGAGGCGATGCGTTTCGCTACATATCTGAACCAGAGATATGACATTAGCCCTGAAGACAAGGTACCCTTTTGTTTTGATAAGTCTAGGTGGGCAGTTGTTGCTATGCTTGGCATCCTTCAAGCCGGCGGCGTCGTCGTTGCCCTTGATCCCTCTCATCCTTCAAAGCATCACAGCCAGATTCTGGGTCAAGTGAAGCCCAAAGCCATTGTCACCACACCAGCTCATGCCGCGTTATTCCAAAACCACAGCCTCATTATCCTATCCCACAATGGTGATGAGCTGCAAATTATGCCACCAATAGATACGGCCACCATGAGGAGCGGCAATACCGAAAGGGTTCGAACCGACAACGCTGCTTTCATCGTCTTCACGTCTGGTACTACTGGGACCCCTAAGGGCATTGTCCTCGAACACCGAGCAGTGTGTACCTCAGCCCGTGCCCACGGCCAGCTCTTGAAGGTTACCCCAACTTCACGGGTGCTTCAATTCGCTGCTCACGTCTTTGATGTCATGGTCTCCGATATCTTTACCACACTGACTCATGGTGGTTGTGTCTGTATCCCCTCAGAGCATGATAGACTGAACAATCTCGTCGCGGCCATTAACTCCCTAAATGCCACCCAAGCCTATCTAACCACCACTGTGGCATCTCAATTACATCCAGACCAGGTCCCGGGTCTAGAGGTGCTCTCCGTTGGTGGTGAACGCGTCACTGAGCATGTCGTACGCACCTGGGTAGCCCGCACCTACTTGATCAACATGTATGGCCCAGCCGAATGCACCATCTGGTGCGCGGGCACACATGTCGTTGGGGCTGATGCACAGCCCAGTGATTTTGGACACGGCATTGGCGCCCGCCTCTGGCTGGTTAACCCGGCTGACCATCGCCTTCTTGTTCCGATTGGTACTGTTGGGGAGATTCTTGTTGATGGGCCTATCCTGGCACGTGGATATCTTGATATGCCTGATCAGACTACCTCCAGTTTCATCCAAGATGCCCCCTGGCTGCGCCACGGCCGCCGAGCGTACAAGACTGGCGATCTGGGCCGATACACCGCCGACGGCACAATAGAATATCTCGCCCGCCAGGACGGGCAGATCAAGCTCCACGGCCAGCGTATAGAGCTTGATGCCATAGGGCACCACCTGCGTGCCTGTCTCCCCAACGACTATCCCGTGGCCGCCGAGGTACTCTCGTTGTACGGTAACCCAGTTCTTGTGGGATTTGTGGCCTTGGGTCAGTCAGCCGGCCCGGTACAAATTCTTCGGAATCCAGATTCCGTGGGCAAGTTGAACCAACTACTTTCCACTATCTCTGATGATCTTGCCGCAAAGTTGCCGCATTCCATGGTCCCCCATATCTTCCTCCCCATTAACAACATCCCCCTGACCCTCGCCGGTAAGATCAATCGGCGAGCCCTGCAGGCGCTGGGCAGCGAGCTGTCAGCTGATGACGTGCACTCTCTGAGCCCCCAGTGGGCGGCCAAACAACCCCCGGCCACGACCACAGAAAAGACTCTGCAGGGTCTATGGGCATCCATTCTTCCGCTCGAGCTTGAGTCTATCGGCCGTAATGACAGTTTTCTGCGACTCGGTGGTGACTCGATGGCGGCCATGCGTCTAGTGGCAGCGGCTCGAGAGTTGAGCTTATACCTCACCGTTGCCGATGTGTTTGATCGCCCCATCTTATTCGAAATGGCACAGAATATCATCCCTATGAATGATGCAGAGAGCCAGCATCTGCCACCTTTTGCCCTGGCGGCGGCAGGAGATGATCTTGACACCCTTCGCAAAGAGCTTGCACAGCTATGCCAGATACCTTCGAGTCGAGTCCAAAACATCTATCCGTGCACACCGCTGCAACGTACCTACATTGAGCTTTCCACTTGCAGCCCTGGCATCACCACGCTGCAGAATACCTATATAATACCGCCATCAGTCGATATAGACCGTCTTCGTCAAGCTTGGGAACAAGTCGTGGCCGCCAACTCTTTGCTCCGCACCCGCATCGTCTACGATCCTAAAGCTACTACCGTATGGCAGGTAGTTCTGGATGAATTGCCAACTTGGCGCACATCCACCAGTCTGGAAGCTTATTATGCACAAGAAGTGGCTGAGCCTATGGGTTCCGGCTGCCCACTTAGTCGCTGTGCCATCATAGACGGACATTATTTTGTCTGGACATGCAACCACGCTATCTACGATGCCTGGTCTGTAGGTCTAGTAATGGGTCAACTCGAGCAAGCATATCAAGGGCTGGCACTTAGTCCTGAGGCACCTTTTGCACACTTCATCAAGCATATACTGGCAGTAGACCGAACGGCAGCCGACGTCTTCTGGCAGAAAACACTAGACAACTGCCAGGCTCGGCCCTTATGTCAACAAAGTTCCACCCAGGTAGACTCACTCTTAGTACTAGAGATGGTGCTGCCAATGCGCTCTCACGCCACGGAGATCACAATGTCAACTATCACTCAGGTAGCGTGGGCTATTGTGTTAGCGCGCGAGACTGCCAGGCGCGATGTTGTGCTCGGCCTCACGGTCACCGGCCGCGACACACCCATCACAGGCATCGAACGCATGACAGGGCCAACCATCGCTACCATCCCGCTGCGAATAACTGTTCACGAAAAACAGTCGTTAGATAGTCTCTTACGAGCAACCCAAACACTGACGAAGGCGGTCATTCCATTCCAGCATGTAGGGATGCCGCATATTCGCAACATCAGTAGAGAGACTGCGCAGGCGTGCGATGCCACAGTCCCAATCGTCATCAACGCAAGCAACCATCACAAGGAGGCTTTGGGTTCAGCAATCGGCCTTGAACGATCGCAGCGCACGCCCTTGGCTGAAAGTCCGTTGCCCTTCTTTATTGACTGCTCGGCGAGTAAGGACACTCTGGATGTGTATATCACCTTTGACAGCCGCGTTTTCCCTCGCGCTCGTGCGCAGAACATGCTATCTCGGTTTAGATATGTATTATGTCAGTTATGCGTCGATCCTGCTGGGAAGACTGTTGCCGATCTTCGCATGGAGGACAGTACGGGGCACAATTCCAAGTCGACTATTGCTTGCTATGAGACTCATTCAGGGATGAGCTTTGATGCTCGGACTAAGACGTCGGTTTCAATGGTGAAAGGAAGTGAGTAGATAGATTCCCTAGATAGCCTTTTATGTATTGAACCAGTTCTTCATCTATTACCTTGACTTCCTCAACGCAAGCCTTGTGTTGTAAAAGCCTCGGTACCAGAATAATTGCTACAGAATAAGCTATATTCATGTCCTTAAGCCGAGGTCCTGCTAATAACATGAGACATAAACGCGTTAGTATCCATCCACTTCCTCCTCATGGAGCCTGTTTACTATGCCGCACACTTTGAGCGCCACCCCGTAGCTGTACGTGTACCCCAGTCCTCCAAAGCCGTAGGCATGGATTGTACGGCCATCACAATCCAAGCGATACCCCCCCTCTCTTCCAGGTCGAAAGGCTACTATATCTTCAATCTCAACTCCACCCGGATCGATGGATCGAACAATATCTGGTGCCAGGCGCTGAACGCGTGCAATAATATCATTGCGAGCATCCGGGTCAGCTGTGCTTCGCATATCACCGGCTTGCGATACCCCGCCAAGTATGACGCCGCCAGTACCCATCCGTGGTATACAGTAAGTGTACTGGGATCCTTGAAAGAGTATCATCTCTTGTGCCGCTACGGCTGCATCCTTGCTCTTGAGCAGCAGAACTTGGCCTCGGACGGCCACTACGGCTGGATCTGGGGCCAGCTGCAAAGCCCCGAGCCCTGGGGCGTTGATGATCACCCGTGCTCCTGTTACGGATCGTGCCATGGCGACAGAATCTACAATCTGGCGAATAAAACGCACGCCGTGCGTGATAGCTCGACCCTGGAGCCAGGGGAGATAAAGATCCGGGTTGACAGTTGTTGACAGGTAGGTAAAGCCCAGCAGATGGCCTGGGAGACGCTGATAGTCGACTACAAGCGACTGGTACCAGATATCACTGTCGTCGTTGCCACGGTCGTCGAAATACTCCCGCACAGGGGTCCTCTACAATCAGAAATATCAGGCAAAGGAGCAACAACGGATGTTGAAGTGTCCATAGGGGAGGAGTATATAGGGAAGAATAGACTACTCACTTGAACGCCACTGCTTGGGTCTGTCTGCGCAAGTGACCAAAAGTATCGGTATGTCGCAGCTTGCAGGTCTCTTCCATGGTTCGTAGGATAGGGAAGAATGCCAGCACCTGCCCTGAGAAATCATTAACATGCCCCAAGCACTCGAAGCCGGGAAGAGTACCGACCATGGGCTGGCCCAGAGGAGAGATGAATCACCAGGGAGCTCTCGCGCGACAACTGTGACATGATGGCCAGCCTCGGATAGAACAAGGGCAATTGAGAGGCCTATTACTCCCGCACCAATGATACCAATATCCATGGATAAATTGGTAAAGAAGTACAAGCTGGCTAGGTAGAGTAGGCGGGTACTGTGCTTATTATATAGCCAGCGGTTAGACATTTACACTATCAGATTAGTAATACTGAAAGAAAGTTGTGCAACTCCTGTTGTTCATTCAACTACTACCTGATCTACACCTTTCTATTCGTGCGGGTACTTACCCTAGCAGGCTTAGAAACCCATACACACGTATACATTTCCAGATCCGGGGTGTAGGTAGGGTATGCCTTCTCACTACTTGTATTTATCCTCCTCTACTAAACCTCCCCAAATAACATCCGCAGCACAGACTCCCTGAGCCATTGCTGGTGCTACGCCCTTGATGGGGCTGCCAGCATCGCCACAGACATACACCCCTGGCACGTTGGTACTCCCAGTAGGTTCCTCGCGCGTAATAAAGGTGCCATGGCCGGGAACTTCAGCTATAGGGAGGCCGAGCTGTGTCGCTAGGTCGGCGCTGCCTGGTCGTGTAAGCGTCTTATACACCAAGAAGTCGGCGCACTCTGTGTTGCCAGAGTCGAGATGCAGGCGGACGCCAGGACCCTCGGGGACAGGCAATGGCTCTAGGCGGCTGATACGCGCGTGCTGCAGGGTAACGAACTGCGATAACAGGGGAGCAAACAATTTCTCAGCCTCACGCTGCTGGTCGTCGTTGTCGCACCCGTTAGTATAGACAACCACGCGGGTATTGAAGCATTTCGCCCGTAGGGCGAGATGAACATGGTGCTCCGATAATGGCCACGCGAGAACACCGACGCCATGGGGTCCGTTGGCGCGCTCAAAGCCATCGCAGAGGAGACATTGGTAGATGTGATCCGGCCAGCAGCTTGTGAATCCGGAGATCTCTGTCGGAAGCTCATGAACCGCACCCGTGGCCAGGATGAGACGTCGGGTCTGATGAACCGCGCCCGAGGCTGTCCTCACTTCAAAAGCCGGCTTTCCCGGGGTGCCAATTGCGGCGACGCTCTTAGCGATATCAGACTCTAGACGTACATTCTGGTAGGCCGACGTGATCTGCTGCTGGCTCTGGGTGATGAAGTCGACCCGGTTCATGCCTTCGCAAGCCAGGACGCCGTGTAAGGGATGGCTCCCGCGATTGGGGTGCTCGTCTTCGGCAAGGATAAGGACACGCCTCAGGGTACGGCCGAGAGCGCCGGCTGCTGCAAGCCCGGCCGGGCCAGCCCCGAGAATAAGTACGTCAACCGTCATGATGTTAGACCAAAGATGATAGAGTCAGAACGGCAGCGACTAACCTGCGACACAAAGTAATGGTCCAGGAGGTTTAAAAACAACGGCCACGGTCCTAACCTATCGCTAAGGTGGTGCCACTGTACCGACTGTTAAGGTGTGCCCACTGGTGTGTGATTATACAAAACCATGCTGTGGGGGGGGGGGGTGTCAGTTCCAACGTCGGAGAGCAATTACATGTATGTGCTCATCAATGTCAACTCTAGGGTAGGGTAGGTCAGTGACCTGTTCTGTCCGATATTACGAACCATTGTGTGTGTTTCTCTCCCTGTCGGATGGTTGGGTTGGAACCCTATTTCTATCTGTTCAGTAATGACCTATCTAAGAGGTTGTTACAGTGGTGAAACAGCTCTCTGACTGGTATTTCGGTCATCCGGTTAGCCGGTCTCATTTTCATCAGTATTCAACCAAGTTCCTTCACTTTTGTATGGCTTAAGAGGGTCTACAAAGGAGGACATCCACCGATCTCTTCATGTTGATTGTTTAACAATAATGTTCTTTAACTGAAATAGGCCATGGTTCATTTTTTCCATTTAATAATATCGGATTTAGAATCTTCAAAGATCGGAATTCCCCGGATGATACTGATCCCGTCCAGTACCCATCAATATGTCTTGAGAAGGGTCCGTTGATTCCACTCCAACGCCGACACATCTTTGTACCGGGCAGGACAATCAGCCGATACAAACTCTTCAAAACAGCCCACCGAGGCATCTCTATCTGGCTTGCCAAAATAGGCTACCGAGTACCTGGCGGGAAGGATGCAGGAGGAATCATCCTTGGCGAAGTCCTTGGGCAGGGTGACCCGATGCCACACGGCACGGATATTGTCGTTGGTCCAGTGCTGCAGGGAGTCACCAACATTGATCAAAACAGTCGGAAGATGGCTGGAGACAGCGATGAAACCGTCGTGTCCAGGCCGCTGGTCTTCAATTTCTAGGCCGCCACAGTCATCTTGGAAAAGGAGGGTGATGCTCCCTGCGTCTGTATGCTCTGAGATGCGCGTCTTAAAGCCTTGCTCTTGGATATCTGCCGCCAATACGGCTGGGTAGTGAAGTAACCGGAGCTCGCTACTGTCTTGCTGCTGATGCAAGGCTGAGAAACGATCCAGTGGCAGTCCAAGGCCCACGGCTAGGGCGTCTAGGATACGCATGTGTATCTGATAGCAGGCTTCGAAGAAACTGTCCAACGTGGGCTGGAACTCTGGCTGAGATGATACTTGCGGGTAGATATTGGGGAACAGGCGGTCGTGCGGCGACCCTTGGTCGAAACTCTCCTTAATGTCAATCTTGCGAGGCGCTGAAGTCTCACCCGGCCGAGGCCGACTCAAAGTTGACGTGATCTCCTGCCCAACGAAGCTGTAACCACGGTGTGGGTTAGGCTGCGCAGGATGGGCGGCCGTCATCTTCTCGTCATGGGACAGGTCGAAGAATTTCTTACTCTGCTTGCAGCATAAGCCTGGTGACATTCTGCCATTATGAGGGGGAGAGGAGAAGAGCGGAGAATGGGCATGAACGTACAACATCGAACAGCCGGTTTACTGCAGTGGGACTGATGCCGTAGTTGACACATCGCACAAAACCAAACTGTCGTAGTCCATCAACTAGGTCAAGACAAAACGCCTGCCGCTGGACATCAGTGCCCGAAGTGTACTGTGATAGATCAAGGGTGGGAAGTTGGGCTGACATGGTGAGAGGCAGAGTCAGTTGTGGGTGGCAATTGAGGAGAAAGAGGTCGCCGAATCGAGCATTTGAACCTCAACCAACTGATATATATATTCGTCAGTCGCCACAGGGGTGGAACCATAAGGTGGCACCACCACGAGTACCACTGGAGGCTATACGTATAAAAGTACAAAACTTGATCTATTTTGATCTAGGTTAGCATGGCGCTATTCTATTCATCTCAAGAGTTGCGAGATATGCTCTCCTACCGAGAGAGATGGGCTCGCCGCCTAGTGCGCGACCAAGTCTACCAGGAGCTGTCGCACTACCATCAGTCGAAAAATGACTGGAAAGTGTGCTCCAAGAGCGAGCTAGAGCGCACCTGTGACTATGAAATGACCCGAAATGATCTGCCCTCGCCCTGCTGGCAAGATCAGGCTCGCACGAAGCAGCAGCCTTTGCATATCTGCATCGTTGGGGCAGGCGTTTCTGGCTTGTACATCGCGCTGCTCTTGGATAGCTTGGAGATGCCAGGACTGACATATGAGATCCTCGAAGCTTCGAACCGCGCAGGTGGACGTGTGAAGACACATTATTTTAGCGACAAGAGTGACGACTACTTTGATGTCGGTGCAATGCGCTTCCCGGAGGTTACCCACATGCAACGGTAGTGAGATCCCCAACCTGGGCATTCAGATGCTGATGCTCTTCAGAATAATGCACCTATTCCGACACCTGGACGTGCCGTTGAGTCCATACTACAAGACTGAAACTGACCGCCCGTACTTGTTCAACAACATCCTCGCAGCGAACATCCCACAAAACCGCAAGGATATCTTCCAACTCGGCCGATCTCATGGCGGTCTGGTTCCGGACCGGTAGGACTGTTTCTTCTACGTCTTGTGTTCTACTATTCATTTACTTACTCATTCTACTCAACAGGTTAGTCCAGCGCGGTGCGCAGCAACTTCTGGCAGACGCTGTTCAACCACATTGCGCAGCTCTTGCACAGAACTTTGACCAAGGATTCCAAAGACTAATGGAGTTCGACCATTTGAGTACCTCCATGTACTTGCAGCAGATCATGTAGGAACCGACTGATCAAATGTCTGAAAATGGAGAGGCGTGGCTTATCTCGTGAACTAGGGGATATGACTTTCACACTGTCCAATGGATGGAATCCATGACCTCGTACGTCGATTCCTGTGGCTTGACGTGATCAAGAGCCGACACTGACAAGACTCTTCAGGGCGACGGGGCTGTTCAACCAGGCCTTCAGCGAGACAGTCTTAGACGCACTAGACTTTGACTACTCAGATACCACGCCGTGGTGGCGGATCGAGGGTGGCGGCGCAGTGCTGATTAGTCGTATGTGCGAGGCCATTTCCCAGCCTTGCAAGCTGAACAAGGCCGTGGTACGTATCGTACACGACAGCAGGAGTGCAGATGCGACAATCATGAACATGCTAGTGCAGGTCGAAGGCGAAATCGCGTCCCGGCGGTATGATACCGTGTTCGTGACGACGACGCTGCCCGCGCTGCAACGTATGGATCTGCGTTCAGCTGGGCTGCACCCAGCGCAAAGACAGGCAATCAACTACCTACAGTACGACAGTGCGACCAAAGTCGCTATTAAATTCTCCCACGCATGGTGGCGCGGGCCCCATGGGTCTCTCTACCGGGGCGGCGAGGCGCACACTGACCTTCCGCTCCGAGTGTGCGTGTATCCGTCCTGCGCCTCGGTTGCTGAAGCCCCAGACCAGCCTGCCGTGCTTCTTTGCTCGTATACCTGGGCGCGCGATGCCCAGCGCCTCGCATCTCTGATCAGTGACGAATCTCCGTTGGGCGAGGCAAGGTTGGTCGAGCTCCTGCTACGCAACCTGGCCGAGCTGCACGCTGTGCCCGGCGTCACGTACGAAGGCCTGCGTGCTGCATATCTTGATCACTATGCTTTCGCCTGGGACCGTGATCCTCACGCTGCCGGTGCTTTTGCATTCTTTGGACCGGGCCAGTTTCGTAATCTTTACCCCTTTCTGACGCGTCCGGCCGCTGATGGTAACCTCCATATCGCAGGCGAGGCTGCCAGCCCTGTGCATGGCTGGATTCAGGGATCCCTTGAGAGCGCTTACCGGGCGGTACAGCACTTTCTAGAGCATCACAGTTTATGTGATGCAATGGCCCGACTAGAATCCCAATGGAGTTGGGCTGGTGATACGAGAGCAGGTGACCACAGGATATCGCAATTGCAGGTCTATCTGGCGCGTGGGAGAGGCAACAGGCAACACGGCTTATAAGTACACGAGAAAACTCAAAGCAAAGACGTACCTATTCTCAGTACTTTGAGTGGTCGATAAGGGGCTCACGTATCCTGTACGAAGAAGGATCTATCGGACCGGCCGAACATCATCTTGATATCTTCTGTCATTTATTTTCCTATTCTTCAAAAAAGTAGTTGCGTATTCACTAATCGAGAAACAATACCAGTTGGTCTACTTGAAACGTTATAGGTCAATTGATGTCATGTTCTCACACGGACTATGTCCTTTGGAGCGCTGGGGCCGAGTCGTGGTTTTTCCGGTCAATCTATTCCAAGCAACACGAAAGCTCTTTTCATATGTTACTGGGATGTCGCACATGGAAGTACATCGCTGCTACTAAAGTGTGGCTACCCATGATGTTGTTTCGCTCCTCCGACTTTTATATTTCCATTGAGTGAACTTCCCGACAACTTGAGATCTCACCATTTGCAATGACATAAAGAAAAGACAACGAAGAAACAAAATCTCGTATGATTCTCTATCCCATTTTAATATACCGGTCCCACTATCAGCAGGTAGGAATTAGCAACTACTTTGGTTCACTATATGGGGGCCTTTGATGTGCCATGGTTACATACCGTCTCCAAAGCTTGTCTTATCGGGAATGAGCCAGTGAGGCGAAATACTTCTTTAAAGTACTCATGCGTCACTTCAAAAGGTTTGGCAGTTAGATTGGGAACATAGCGGCCGACGAGTTTGGCGGGATCGATATGTTCCACCAGGATGGATCTTTGTAGACACTTTCGAAAGGCGGCAACGCCTGGTCGTAGATAGGAGGAGTGAAAGGGAACGTTTATCCCTTTCAACGGGATAGCCGCTTTGCTGCGACTCAGCGTCATGGTTGGTGGGAGGTGTGTTGCTTCCTCCACTGATTGAGAGATAACCCTAGTGAGATTAACAGAATCAAGAACCGGCAATGACTGTGAAGCATCATGTATATGGTCCAAAATGACACCTAAACAGTGTAGTGCGCGAGTCTGACAAGGTTGAGTTAGTGTTGCTTGGCCAATATGTGCGATGATGTTGGCTCAAGATGCCATGCATCGTGGGGATGTGTACCTCTCCGGCGCATACGTATTGTAGATCGACCACGTTATGGTTGACCACCTCGAGAAGCCATTGCCCTTCGGACGCAACTCGAGAAACGAGAGATAAGAGCCTGCTTCCGTCAAATTCTGATGAGCGAGTTAGCTTCGGGTCGGCCGCGCTTCAGGAATTCTCTCGACAGTTATCCATACCCTTGGATACCCTAGTCGGGTCTATAGCACACATGGCGAACTGGGAACGGCCAAGATCGTCACATGCTACAACTGATTGCATGACCAACCCACGGTAAAAGACTGTGGAGATGAGTGTCTTGAGATCCATGATGCCACCCAAGGCCACTAAGGCTGAGAATTCCCCAAGTGAATGCCCCGCATAGACGACACTATCCGGAACCAGCTGACGAGCCTCCAAGTCCGCTATGATGGCTAACTGCATGAGAACGATGGCAGGCTGAGTAAACTGTGTGGACGATAACAGACCAGACTCTGATGTGTAAGCGTAACTTGTGGTGTACTGGTCGATTGTGGGAAACAACTTCACTTTTGAGACTTGGCCATCTGACTCAACGCGTTCTGAAGCCAGAGCCATGTAGTTAGAACGCACGCGACGGCCAGCTACACCGCCAAAATGCACTGTCAAGGAGTGAGGATCGTTACGAACAATATCGGTGATACGAAATCCTGATGGTCGATATTGTCAGCAAATTGTCAGAACGCCTGGGACTGGTCCAGATGCCACTGGGATCTATGTTACCGTAATCGTGTTGGAAGTACTCGTCGGCTATGTCCCAGACTCGTCTAGCTGCGCGGCTGTTTCTGTACAGCTCCATCCCCATGCCCTTCGTCTGGCTGCCCTGGCCCGTAAATACCAGTGCTGTGGACGGCTGTTCGATCTCGTACGTGCCCTTGAGCACCAACTCCTCGGTTACCGTTTTGTGCACTTCAACCTGCACGACCCGCAATCCTCGATGCATGGCGACGTGCTGGAACGAGACTCGAAGGCGATCTTTTTCATAAACTTTGCCTATAAACGAGACATTTGACTTCCTCAGCATGCTCCGCGTTCCGTCGCAAAGCCAGGTGTAGGCAACATGTAGAAGCTCGGCACTGATGTGCATCCCATGCACTATCGGGCGTGGGAGGCCTGCCAGACAGGCAAAGACAGGGGCCACGTGGATCGGGTTGAAGTCGCCACTGACAGCGGCGTATGCAATACTCTGGTCCTTCTCTGGAGCGACGAGGATAAGTTTCTCTCCGTGGAGGAGATCAACTGGCGTCTTCAGGAGAGTAGGCTGACTAGGCGCGATCAAATGTTCACCGAGAAAGTTGTGGGTCAGGTCCAAATGACTGTCGTCGTGACTGATTAGGTCACATTTACCGATAATCTTCCCATCTGACGCGGCATATCCAGTGATTCGTTGCTCTATGAGTCTTCCTTCTCTATCCGAATATATGAAGCGCTCGAGTTCGAAAACGACCAGCTTGCCGACAAGCTCTGGGACGGAAGTAAGAGGCTGAAACCATGGCTTTTCGTGCAGCCTAACCACACTTATCTGGTCTTTCAAGAGAAGCTGAGTCGAGGGAACGGTCGACCTCCGGAACGAGCCATGCGAGTCCTCATAATTTCCCACAAAGAAAAATCGTGCTTCTATCTCCAAGATGCAAGCCTTAGCCCTGAAGATCCGGGCTCGAACTTCAACCATCTTTCCGGCAGACTGAACTGCCAGTTCGGCGACGAGAGCTTTGGTGTACAGGGTGTCACCAGGTACAGGCAGAGATTCACCCGGCAAAAGTCTTGTCTGATTCGAGATATGGAGGAGCTTAAGCATATCTGTTGCGAGCTCGCGGCTAAAGAGTGGCTTCACCAAGGCTTCCCAGGCTATCACGACAGAGAAGTCAAGCGGAGCCTCCAAAGTTGCGTTGGCCATAGAAGAAGGCGTCCCGGTGCACGTATCGTACTCTCGGATGGCATCCGCGGTAACAGTGTATGGTCCGCATTCGAAGTCGTCATAAATGGAAACACCTTCCGGTCCCTGGCTTGTCCCAAGCCAAACTTTATGGTAGAAGGCCCTCATGTTGGAAGGCTGGTCACCGCAACAGTCTGAAATCGCAATTGTCGAAAGCCCAGGTCGATATGAGAGGGAGTAGGCGACAGTAGTTGGCGTATACCGTACACTCTGGTGATGGCTGATCTCGATCATAATTTGACCACATGGCTGCAAACTCAAGTCTACTACCTTGAGAAAGGTTTGATCAGGAAGGCGAATCAGGAACGAAAATCCGCCTCTAATATTGCTCTCTGAACTGTCAGCAACATGCACGTCCATGCTGCATAAGCCAGAAACCACGGCCAGAAATGGATTTGGGGCCAGCCGTCGCTCTTTTCTCACTCTTTCAAGAGTGAGCAGCACCTTGGCCCAACTCAGGCTCTTATTGGAACATTGCTTAATATAAGAAATCCAGTGTGCTAGGGTACGAAGTCCATGGCTTGCATGAGGTGCTGGGAGACCATCATAATGATTGGAATCTGCCACTTTGGTCGCGTTCAGGGGGGAGTGGTCAAAACTGGGGATCTGGCCATGGCCGTAGGCCTCGCGAATCGTGGCGACCCATCCATCATGGATCTGTCCTAGTATCTCACTGATTGGCTCGTTGACCGTTGTCGAGTATTTTGCCGCAACAGGACCGTGCAAGATACATACACGACCTATGTCTTGATCCGGCACCGCTGCGAGATCCTCGGACTGCCAGAGGGAATCCTTCTTGAACCATGTTTCGAAGTCTGCGTCAAGGACTGGCACGAATGGTACCGGTTTTTGTCCACGTCGGCGGCAATTATGCAGAAAGTACATGACATCCTCATAAGCAATCAGCTGTGTGGTAGCCTTGGGTATTACAGCCAGTATGGAAGCCAGAGTCGTGTAAGGGTCATCTAGGTCCTCGGGTCCATTAAGCAAGACTGCTGATCGTGAGGTGCCGCTTCGAGACAAGCGTCCCAAAGTTCGAACGAGCACATCAAAAAGAAGTTTCCTCCATGATAGATGGACCCATCGATTCTCGGCTCTGACGTAAGTGAGATCGACAAAACGATAGAGCACTTCGCTATATGTCATCTCATCAAGTTCCACAGGATCTTTGCTGAGTCCACTGCATCCGAACCATACCTTGTGATAGTCAGAATTGAGTCTTTGAATGATTTCGTTGCGGCGTGCAGTAATCTCCGCCACTCGTTTCTCCGCACTTAGACAGAAGATGGTCTGGTCGAATTCATGCCATAGCCTAACCGCGCGAGTGGAAATCTTGTGAATAGGTTGTCTCATTTCCGAAACAACAGATAGAATACCGCCTGCAGCACATGAAGATGCATCCTGCCATTCACTATCCTGGACACCGTCGGTTGCCACAATGACAGCCTTGGCTGCTGGGCTTGTCCTTGCTTCTTTAGCCACCATTACACGGCTACCGAGAAGCACGCCGTCAACTGGCATAGACGCTAGGCCCATGTCTGTTGCCCAGTCTCCTGTGAGGTATTGAAATGTCTCAACCGAGCTCCCAAAGCCGCTTCCAACTACCAGGACGACGTTGGGATGTGCCCGGATTCTGCCATACATATGCCGTAATGGCGAGTGAAAGTCTTGGTCAGAATGGTGGCCGCCACCACGGCCACCTGTCCATTGGAGAACGACAGGTAGAGGTTCTAGGCTCCTTGCAATTTCGAGCGTTGCTTGAATGGCTTCGATCGAGCCTGGCTTCAAGGCGATGTGACGGAGACGAAGTCGTTCAACGTACTCCCGTGCAACGTCTGGCGAGGGCACACCGGCGCCAATCGCCAGGCCATCAATGTGATAACCAGACTCAACCAAGCGCTGTAATTCCGTGATTTGCCATCGCAAATTAGTAGGATTGCTATAAATTACATTGCAAGTGATACCTCTTCCAGCATCAACATTGTTCGAAATATTCGCAATAGCCTCGGAGAGGGATGCAGCATCGTGGAAACCTCCACAAGCCAGCTCAACGTGGTAGCCAGCGTTCATTGTTGCGGTGACAAACTGCCACGACGACGTAGTCGGAGTCATGGCTGCCACCATAACAGGGGGTAGCAAGAACAGCCTAGTGAATCTCGTGTCGACGAGGAGCCGCTTACTCGCCTCGAAACGCACAAGGGTAGGTCGGAAACGGCGAGCCCAGGACTGATGACCTAGTACTCGCTGATAGCCTCCAGGACTACGATCGAATAGGTCCGGTTTATAGCCCAGCTCAACATTAGACCCATTCGACACTGTTGCCAGTATAATGCGAACTCCTCGGCCATCCTTGAGGTAGTGTGCCAGTGGCCCAACACCTTGTGTGCCTCCTGGTCCGAAGTCCAGGATATGCGTAGCATCAGACATGTTCAATGCAGCAGGCCAGTCAACAGCTTCACAAGCAACCATTCGAATCAGATCAGGTATAATATTAGCCTCGCCGCGGCTTCGCAAGTCTAATCCGTTGACAGTCGAAAAGACTGGAAGTTTCAAATCGCATCCTCTCCAGTTGAGTTCCCGACAGTCCAAAATTGCCTTCGATGCGGCGGCAGCGAAGTAGCTGTTATGATATGGTGCAGCAGCCGGAAGGAACTGATGGACTACCCCGAGTGGCTTTTTTGCTGAGCTCGATACTTCAGGAAACTCTTGATCGAGATGGGTGCAGAGTGCGTAAAGTGACAATGGGGCGCCGGTCACCACGAAATTCAAGTCACCGTTCTTGAGGCACACCTCCATTTGTACATCTGTACCAGGCAAGCGATTGTTAAGCCCGACGATCGCGGCCGTCAATGTTTCCATGCTCAACCCGCGAACAGAGAGCATCGGGCTAGGGATCTCCTGCTCCCCGGCTAAGCAGATCTGAACCATTGCTCGTGGTAACGTGCGTAATCCATATGACTGATGAATACGAGCCCCCAAGGAAAGGCTCAAGGTTATTGCTTGAAGGGCTAGAACTTGAAGGGAGACTGAAGAATCTGCGGCAGAGATAGCCGCTGCCGCGATAATTCCTTGTGAGTGGCCCGTCACACCGGCAAGGAACTTTGGCATCTCCTCTAAGCCACACCCAAGGAGCTCTTGCGAGACCTTGAAATGAAGAAGTTGCAGCAAAGTAATAAGCGGGAAGCTTACCGGTGCGGACAGCAAGTAAGACTTTGACGGCTCGGTTGCGTTTTTTTCTTTGCCTAGCCAAGACATCAGATCCATTCCCTCAGGAAAGCAATCGATAAAATCTGTGTTGCATGAAAGACGTTGGAACAGATCTGAAGCCGACTGAACAAGCCCCTCGATTATATGTTGATAAGTGTCGTAAAGCTCGATTATTTCCACAAAGTAGTCGTCGCCATTGCCCTGCCCTCCGAAGACTGCGTAAACCACCGATTGCCCATCGAGGCTCGACCGAAGCAGGTGAGAGGCATGAGCACCATTAGGCTCTTTCAAGAAGAACTTTGCTCTGAAAAAGGCCCTGATAATGTTCATCTTATCTTTTCTGGGAATGGATAATTGTCCAACAATTGCATGAACGTCGTTTCCAGCCAGCACAGTGTCTTCAGCGCACTGAACGGATGCCCGAAGAACTTCCAAGATTTCACGTCTTTGGCGCGTCTCTTGCTGCAGTGAGTCATTGACAAAGTCTATAAAAGACAACAAGAATTGCAGTTGACTAAAAGATTCATTGTGGTACTGGGATTTCGCCTCTGAGTAGGAGCCAAAGCTATCCAGAAAGCTCGCCCTAAGATCAGCGGCGACATCATAGTCTGCCTCTGCAACAGAAATAATGAACTTGGTTTCTTTGCCGAAGAACGAAGGTTGACTTATGGTCAGGCTCTTGGCAAGACTCTTTGCTGAAGAATATGATATTGGAGTCGAGGCGCCGGATCGGCTGTTAGTCAAGGCTGTGAGGGACAACGCCTCCGAGCGGGTACTGGAAGGAATCATCAATACAATTTATGTGAGAAATTATTATGATGACTTTCGCAGCTAAATTCCGGTTTTGCTCCGAATATGGATGCCTGTTGATGATAGGGGATGAGATGTTTGGCTCTGGAAGTGTCGCTGCGACTGACTCTGGCGATTTACTCTGTCAGATCGTCTACTATGCTGAGCACTGCACTAAGGTATTACCAAGAATTTTCGTTCAAGTTACTTGTGTAATTGAATAACTTCTCTCTGGAAACCAGCGCATTTTCTACCACCACTTCGTGCCCAATAAGGCTGCAGCCCTGGCCCCCATAATCACCCGTCTGCTATGCTGATTTCTGGTAATTCCAAAAAGGTCATGGTAGGATGAAAGAAGGTGTGCCTATTGTTGGTGGTACGATATCCTTACATGATGTCACAGGCGGCATAGATCTAAATGGCACCACTTTTAGCCTAGTTGTGGTGGGTCGATCAGATCTCGGAATACGGAGTACAGTGGGGGGCAATAAGTATGAATCCGCTTTAATGTACTAATATATACCTCTTAGCCTAAAGGAGGCTAATACAGCTACCAGTCAGGCTATAGGGTAAAAAAGCCTGACTTTTTATTTTTTTAAAAAAAAGCAGTAATTATATAAGACTTTTTAAATAAATAAAATAATTATTATATTAATTTAATTATAATTAATTTTAAATATATATTTTTTTACTTTTCTTTTTTTTATATTAATTAATATATTCTTTAAATTAAAAAGACTATTTTACTTCTTAAGATCTTACTAGAAGTATAGTAAATAAACTAAAATAGCCTAATTATTTATACTTTTATAAGTATAAGTACTTTATAATTATTAAGACCTAACTTTATAAAAAGGTCTTATTA